CTTAGAATTTCAGAAATTCACATGTTTTTTTGTTGTCATTGGTGCCTTCCCCCACACCTTATACTAGCTTTTTAATTCAGTGCATTGTACTTCGTAGGCTCTACCACTTGAACCATGCCTCCAGTATTTTTGCTTTAGTTATTTTTGTCTTAAATTTTTATTTTTTCCTACTGTGACTAGACTCGAACCATGATCTTCCTGTCTATTCCTCTTGTATAGTTATGAACATAGGAATATGTCACCATGCCCAGCTTAATTCTTTGAAATGGAGGTTTCAATAACTTTTTGCCCAGGCTAAACATAATCCTCCGATTTCTGCCTCCTGAGTAGTTAGTTGCTACTATAGTTGTGAGCTACCATGCCTAGGAGATTCAAGTGGTAAGCAAAGCAAGTGACCAAGGAAAGTTTTTAACTATAAAAAACTGTGTTGTCATTGTCCCGTGAAACTTCCCCAGGAGACTCAATTTGAGTCTCAGAAACAATTTGGAGCCAGGAGCACACAACTGCCTGAAATTTTGCTCCAGTTCTTCGTTGTTGTTGTTGTTGTTGTTGTTTGTTTGTGTGATTTTTTTTTCTCTTTCAAGAATAGCTTAGATTCTGTAGTCTACAGGTCAAGGAGTGTGCCTGCAGCCCTCCATAGATCAGAAGCCTGTATCTAGAGCTTTGCAGACTCAGACCACATTTGAAATAACTTCAGAACTGTGGGGTTATTTAACTTGCTAAGTTTTCTGAGTTTCTTGGACCTGTTATTTGATGTCTTTCCCATTTCGGACAGTCATCCCTTGGTGGTCCTGGTTCATCCGGGGTCCCAAGATGTTGCTCTCTCTCTGTCTCTCCTCCCATGTTCCATGGCTGTGGTGGATAGACTGGCCAAGGACCTTAGCCAGCCACACCCCAACGGGCCTCTCCTCTAGCTACAGTGGGTCCTCCCTTTGCTTCCTTCCCTCAGTGTCCTCCCTCCCTAAGCTAGAAGGAGGGAGGAGCAGCTGCCCTTGCAGAAAGTGCACTCCCCTTCCTGACAATATGCCACAAGCACAGTGGAGGTGTGCACCCATACTGTGCCTTTGGCATGGTCATCTCCCCTCCTCTGAAAGTCCCACTCCCGCCTTTCCTCTTCTGGAGCTGTTTGCAAGGAAGTGTCTCAGGCTGGTGAGTGGAGACCGCAGACCTTGTACACCATCAAGAGTAGTGCTCCTCTGTTTCCTCCACCCTCAGTGAGTGCTGGCTGTCCTGGGACCTGAACACATAAGAAAAACATTTTTGGAATTGTACTGCCAGCCCACATCTAAATCAGAACCACTAGGGAAAAACTTACTGGGTTTGCTTTATTTCTGTAAATTTAGAAAGGTTGTATTTTAGTAAAATAAGATTCAAGTAGGGAGAAATGGAGAACAGTGCAACATCATTGCTCCCCATGCAGGAACGAGAGTGTAAGGCTCCCAGTTTGCATTTAGCAGACTTCCCGGGTAACTTGCTGGGACTCTGCCCTGCAGTGTAAGTGCTCAGTGGTCAGTCGCTTTCACCCATCTGTTTTCTTCCACTTACTAGTGCATCTGGGAACAGCAGAAAAGGCACCTGATTTTCATGACATTTATTGTTCCAGGTAAAACATTAACTTGGACCACATTCACATTCTACTTCTACCAGAGCTGGAGATGATGTCCAGTGCTTGGAAATTCATGTTTCGTTCACTCCTCAGTTTCCTAAAATAGAGATTTGACTCATCCCGAAGCCCTGGTCTGCGCTGTCCCAGCAAAGGAGGGGGGTGGGGGGAAAGTATAGCTAATTTTAGTTGTTTTTCCAAAGTGCTGCACTGATCTATTCCTCCTGGCAGTTTCTCCCTGGTGTGTGTGTGTGTGTGTGTGTGTGTGTGTGTGTGTGTGTGTGTGTGTGTGTGTGTGTGTGTGTGTGTGTGTGTGTGTGTGTGTGTGTAAACTTTTCAAACTGAGATTCTAAAAAAAATCTTTCTCACACTCACTCTTTCACACACTTGTTTCCTCTCACACTTACCTTTACACACACTCATATTCCCATCTAGTTCTGTCACATTTCATCTCTTTCTCATACATGGTACCTCACACATTTACCCTCACATGCTCGTTCTCAAATACGCTTGCTCTCCATACTCCTACTTGTTTGTCTTTCTCTCCCACTGGCTTGCTCATCTTCACACGCTCTAGACTTCTGTGCTTAGCAGCCTCTCCTGGTCTCATTGTCTGGAACTCGGGGACCCTTTGCCTGGGTCTCCTTTTTGCACTCAAGTCTCTCTTCGGAGCCCAGCTGGCTCTGACCTCTCCCACAGTCTCATGTCTGCCTTCTTAACAGTTTGCTTCTCTGAACCTTAGCAGCATGCAGGAGTGTTTCAACCATTTTCATGAGGTTCATGTGGAAACAGCAGCAGTGTATATTGTCTGTAAACCAGACTGAGAGACAAGTTCAAAAAGCAAGTTGGGGTTAGAGCTGTTCCATGTAGAGAGACATTAGGGGAGAAGGTACATCAGAGGCAGGGCTTGGCTTAGGGCAAAGATGACCCTTGAAAACGAGGCTACCCCCAATGTGGACTGAGCAGGAAAGAGGATTTCATTTTGGCTTGTTAACTAGCTGTGAAGTCCAAAAGTTCCAGGTGAAATCATTTCCTTCAGGTCTGAGTTTTCTTATTTGTAAAATTCAGATATAGTTATTTTGGTTCTGTATCTAATTCTAAACTTGACTACCAACTTTTTTTTTTTTTTTTTTGGGTCCGGTCGTGGGGCCTAAACTCTGGGCCTGGGCGCTGTCCCTCAGCTCTTCATCTCAAGGCTAGCTAGTGCTCTACCACTTGAGCCACAGTGCCACTTCTGGCTTTTTTCTTTTTGCTTATGTGGTGCTGAGGAATTGAACCCAGGGCCTCATGCATGCAAGGCAAGCGCTCTACCACTGAGCCACCTTCCCAGCCCCGCCTTTTTGTTCTTGCATAATGCTATCATGCTTTTTTTCTTTTTTTGCTGAAAATGGAAACTTTCCTGTATTGTCAATGCCTTTTATCTTTGATTTTGATGATGGAAAGATATCTTTCAGATTTCTAGTCTTAAGCTTTTTTCTTGTTGTTCATAAGACAGTGTTATTGCTACCTTTTGTGGATGCTTTGCAGCTAATCTTTGCAGTTTTTATCATTTAAAATACAACAGCAGATTTAATTCAGTTCTGTTATCAGGCTTTTAAAATTTTCATGCAGGGGCTGGGGAGGTGGCTCAGTGGTAGAGTGCTTGCAAGGCAAGCACGATGCCCTGGGTTTGATTCCTCAGCACCACATAAACAGAAAAAGCTGGAAGTGGTGCTGTGGCTCAAGTGGCTGAAGAGCTGAGGGTTAGTGCTCAAGCCAAGTTCAAGCCCCACCACCGACCAAAAAAATAAATAAAGTCTTCACGCAACAGCAGGCTACACCTAGCTGATGAAAATCAGCAAAGTGTTGGTTGGAGCAAGGGTTGAAACAAGGTCTCATAGTGTAGTCCAGGCTAATCTCAACCCTCACATTCTTCTTGCTCTAGCCTTTGGGAGTTGGGATTATAGGTGTGTCTCACGTGCCAAACAAAGCATACTTTTTTTTTTTTAAGCAAAACGAAGTAGAGGCCATCTAGGATACATTTTACAGTGAATTTAAAATTCAATTCAGTTTTATGTGTCTTAGGAGACAGAATGCCAGCTTGTTTAATTCAGTGTCATACTCGGCTGAGGTTGCTCTGAATGCCTGACTCAGCTGTTTTCCTGTGTCAGTCTTCCAGAAGCTGGGACTATCGTTACACAGCACCATGACAGCTGTGATTTATTTATTCATTTATTTTTGTCTGTTGTAGGGCTTGAATTTAGGGCCTGGGTACTGTCCTTGAGCCTTTTTGTTCAAGGCTAGTGCCCTACCACTTTGAGTCACAGGGCTACTTCCTGTTTTCTCATGGTTAATTGGAGATGAGTCTCTTGGACTTTCGTGCATGGGCTGGGCTGGCTTTGAACCACAATCCTTAGATCTCAGCCTCGTGATTAGCTAGGATTACCAGTGTGAGGCACCAGTTCCCAGCTTGTGATCATTTTTGTATGACACATTTATGCAGTTTTCTAATCCGAGTGCTACTAACAAATAGCAATGCATCCGGAGAAAAAGCTGATGATGGATCAGTGTAATTAAAGAGACAATTCTTCTATTCTGGGCTACAGTTTTGATCAGATAAGCAGGGTGTTGAAAACGGGTAATGGGAATGGCTTTCATTGTTGTGTGTGCATGTGTATAATGATATGTAGTATGCACAGTTTTAGGAATCAGAACCCAGAAAAGATTCCTTGGTTGTTCTCCTTCATGCGCTTAATACATGTGTTTTCTTTGACAACTTAGAATTGGTCATTTGGTTTTTAGTTTATTCATGTGATACTTAGGTATCCTGGTGTTTTTTTTTTTTTTTTTTTGTAGGTGGTGAGTATTGAACTCTGGGCTTGGGTGCTGTCCCTCATCTCTTCGGCTCAAGGCAAGTGCTCTACCACTTGAGCCACTGCACCACTTCTGGTTTTCTAGTGGTTTATTGGAGATAAGAGTCTCACAGACTTTCCTGCCCGGGCTTGCTTTGAACCGTGATCCTTATATCTGAGCCTCCTGAATAGCTAGGATTACAGGCCTTAGCCACCAGCACCTGGCTCCTGGTGTTCTTAAGATCAGAGTAATTAGCCGGGCGCTCGTGGCTCATGCCTATAATCTTAGCTACTCTGGAGGCTGAGATTTGAGGAACTAGGTTCGAAGCCAGCCCGGGCAGGAAAGTCTGTGAGACTCATGTCCAGTAAACCACCAGAAAACCGGAAGTGGTGCTGTGGCTCAAGTGGTAGAGTACTCGCCTTGAGCCGAAGAGCTGAGGGACAGCACCCAGGCTCAGAGTTCAAGCTCCAGGACTGGCAAAAAAAGAAAAAGAAACCTGTATGCATTTGATATGAAACTGGAAACTGTATGGACCCCTAATATCATTGTTCTTTTTTTAAAACAGCTTTTAGAGATTAACTGGACAGGACTGACTAATCTTCTGGACATCCCTGGATTAAAGTGAGTTTGTTCAGAACCCACCGTTGGCTCATTGATAATGTCTTTTGTCACAGACATACCATAAAAATGGCTAACACTATTGTCTGGCATGTAGAATTGGTGCCTCTCAGTAGGCTTTCATCAGAAGTGACCAGAGTGTAGTTGAGTTTTGTTCACTCAGCCGTGCCTATCTAAAGCAATCCTGATTAAAGTAGGATGACTCCAGGAGAATCATAGAGCCACTCCTCGTGTACCTTTTTTTCTAGGGCATGTCTCCAGTGGTGGCACTTTAGAGAGTAGCTGTCCCTTCCCTGCCTTTTCTCGCCTTTACCTCTGTCTCAGTGAGCAGGACCTCAGGGTGAAGTTTCTGTATGGTATACTGGGAGTCCCTTCCTTCCTCTGTAATGATTTAATATCTGAAAATGCGTGAGGCATGGAGGTTTCGCCCCTGGGAGGGAGTGGGATTGGGCTGTTGCTGAGTCCCAGTATTCGTCTGAAATGGTGGGTGGAACTTCGAAAGCCAGAAGTTTGGGTTACACCCTTCTAAACTTGGTTTTGCTCCTTTTGCTATTTTATTCGAAGTTTAAAACACATTACTTGTTAAGGGTGCAAGTCTTTCAGAAATTTGAGGCAGTCCTGTTCAAAAGTCAGTTGTAGGTGCTATGGGTTGCTGGACTAGGAAACTTACCGTCTTTCATAGAGCTATAGAAGGAACATCGTTAAAATATTTATCATCTGACTCAACTGGTCTTAAAAATGGAGAGAGCATGAGTGAGAGAGAAGAGAAAGAGGGAGCAAGTACTCTACCTCTGAGTTACATCAGTAGCCGTTCCAATCAAGACTATTTTTTAAGGCAGATTGTGTATCTACTTTGAACCAGCCACTGTTCTCAATTTGGTTGTAACTGAACAGCAGTCCCACAACTGTTCTTACGGAGCTCAGCCTGCTGCTGGCCTCAAAGACTTGTACAATGAGGGCATCTGGCACAGGAAAGGTTACTACAGACTGATGCTGTGGGCCAGCATGCACCTGCCAAATTTTCCTCAGCCTACCTAGGACAGATTCCTGAAGATGAGGTTTGGATCTCATGTATACCTTTAGAGGAGGAAAGAGAACAGGTTAGTTGTTTGAAAATAAACCACTGAATGGAGGTATCCCCCAAAGAAAGAGTCTTCACAGGAAGTAAGGGGACTGGGTATTGTTTGCCAGGTTAAAAAAACAAACAAGCAACAGATACCTACATGATGAATGTTTCACTGTGTGTACTTTGTCTCTGATTGGCGGGAAACCGAAATAACACATGCTATGGAGCTTCTGCTCTGTAAAATAACACCATATTAGCTATCCAAAGGCTTGACATCAGACCATGTAAATGATGTGCCCCTCCTCTGGCAAGCTAGTTAGTCCCAAGCCAGCTTCTTTACAAGGGATCTACACACAGACACAGTCGATAAGCACTAAGCACACACATGCATATGCATACATATCTAGCTTCTCTTTAATAATGTATCTGTAGATAGTCTCGTTTTACATAGTAGTAGCTTCGACTATTTATATTTATCTGTGTAGTATACGTATTCCTGTACACTCATCTCTATAGAATTACATAATTAAAAATTTACATGCACTTGTATATCACATATATAGAAAGATTAATATACATCATGAGAATAGCTGGGAGCTGTGGCTTACATCTAAAACCCTCTTTTATTCCTATCAGTCCTGGGGCTTGAACTCAGGGCCTCAGCACTGTGCCTGAGCTGCTTTTTTTCCTCAAGGCTAGCACTCTACCACATGAGCCACAGCGCTACTACCGGCTTTTTCTGTGTATGTGGTGCTGAGGAATGGAACCCAGGGCTTCATGCATGCTAGGCAGGCACTCTACCACTGAGCCACCTTCCCAGCCCACATCTATAATCCTAACAACTCAGGAGGCTGAGATCTGAGGCTTATGGTTTAGAACCATCCAGGCAGACAAATCTAAGAGACTTATCTCCAAATAACCAGCAAAAAGCTGGAAGTGGATATGAGGCTCAAGTGGTAGTGCCAGCCCTGAACAACACAGTGAGACTGAAAGACCCTGAGTTAGAAAAGAAAAAAACAGGCAATCTACAGTATAAAATTTAAAAATGAGATATATATTTAATATACTATATAGTTTACATTCAGTCATATAAATTTTATATAATATATAATATATCATAAGCTTACATAATAAAATATAAAATTGGGGCCACTAGCTCTTGCAGACTTTGTGTCAAGTTAGAGGTGTAAGCTGGCCACTAGTGACTCACATCTGTAATCTTAGCTACTCAGGAAGCCAAAGTCAGGAAGACTGTTTTAAGGCCTGTCTAAGCAGAAAAGTCCACTAGATTCCATCTTCAAAATACCTAAGAAAAAGCTTGACTGGAGGCACGGCTCTCACACGTGCAAAGCTGGAGTTCAGATCCCACTTGCATTACCACCATCACTGCCTCTCCCCAGATTAGAGCTATAACAAGTCTTACGTTGTACCCAAAAGAGGTAAATAATAGTTGAGGTTAGTTACAATGAAGCCTCGCTCCTGTCCATAGGCTGTATTAATTGACTACAAAAAGGAGCCTGAAATAAAATAGGGCTAGTGCCTGAGTCACTTGTCTTTTGTGGTGGTCGTGTTTTTATGCTGATGCTTGGCTTTCTCAGTCATGGCTGGCCCTCTGGCACGTGAGTCTCACATCCAATTCTGACTTTCTTGCTGGATGGTGGGAGATAAAAGTATTGAAGATTTGTCTGCACAGCTTGTCTTTTACTCTCAATCTTCAGATTTCAGCTTCTTTAAGTAGCTAGTGGCTCCACTGCCTGGCTTTGTTACTGTTTTGCTTATTAGTTTTTATTGACATATATTGTTCAAGATTAATTGTACTTACAAACTGACATGTTGAATTAAAACTCCTTTGAAAATAATAAATATTATATAAAGTAAGATGTTTCACTGTGATACTTCCATAAATGTATACGGTGTAATCATTCACGCTGTCATTCTTTCTTTCCTCTAACCCTTCTCCTCCCTCATCTACCCCTCCAGAAATCCCTCTTTAGTGATATTTGTTGTCTTTATTTTTATGTATGTGTGTATATGTGAATATTTATGGATGTGTGTATGTATGTACTTGTATGCGTGTGTGTACTTATGTGTATGTAGGCGTGTATGGGTATATATGTTTGTGTGTATGTGTGTGTATTTATGCGGGTATGCATGTGTGTATGTATCTGTGTGTATTTGTTGGTACTAGGACTTGAACTCAGGACCTCCCTAAGCTTTTATGTTCAAGGCTGGCACTCTGCCACTTGAGCTACTGGATTTTGGTGGTTAAACGGAGATAAGAATCTCACTGACTTTTCTGCCTGGGCTGGCTTCTAACTTTGGTCCTCAGATTTCAGCCACCTGTGCCTGGCTGTTTTTGTTTTTATTTGAAAGTTTTTTCTTCTAAATTCTTCAAATGAAAGAAAAAGATGAGTATTGCTTTTGTGGGTCTGGCTTGATTTCGTTTAGCATGATGCTTGGCTGTTCTCCTGAATGTCCCAGTTGTGTCTCAGTGAAGAACTTCAGGCAGCCTGGGAAAGGTGGAAGAGGACGGAGGCTGGGGCATGCACAGGAGTGGGGCTAAGGAGGGATTTGGGAATCGTGGCTTTAAGAGATCACTGCTGTGTGGGTGCTGCTGGGATAGGAGCAGCGCCCACAGCGGATGGTTCAGAATGCTCTGAGATTTGGGAGTGGGCATTTGCCACATTTGAACTGTGTTTCTAAGCCAGCATGCACAAGGTGGGTGCTGCAAAGGGTGCTTCAGTTTAGCACATTTCTCCATATAAACAAAACCACTGTTTCGGAGAGAAATGCCCAAGATAAGAATACATCTGGTGTGGGGCTGTGCAGAGCTTGCACAAGCCCTCAGCATCTCCCTAGAGTATCAGTAGCCAGGGCCATCTGCTCATAGTAGAGCAGTTCCATGTGCATTTAGCACTTAGGGTTTTTAAAATCTTTTTTCCTGTTAAACTGAAAAGCCTGTAAAGTAAATTCTGTATCTTGTCATAACACCTGGATCCCTGTCTTGCTCAGGTAATACTTGCTGAATGGTGATGCTGATAATTATTGTCTCACTAGATGTATTTAACTGTATAATTACATATCTGTGCTAATGATTTGATCTGGCAAGAACTATGATCCTTCAAAACTTTGCAGTTCTGGAAAATACGTTCCATAGCAATATCTTTACATTTATATGCTTTCACAAGTATGGCCAGACACTTAAAGGGTAGGCAAGCCAGGTGCCAGCGCCTCGCACCTCGAATCCTAGCTACTCAGAAGGCTGAGAACTAAGGATCACGGTTCAAAGCCAGTCAGGGTAGGAAAGTCCCTGTAAGACTCTTATCTCCAATAAACCACTCAAAAAAACTAACAAAAACCAGAAGTAGAGCTGTACCTCTTAAGTGGTAGAGCTGAAGAGCTCAGGGACAGTGCCTAGAGTTCAAGCCCCACAACCACCACCATCACCACCACCAACAAAAATAGAACAGTGAGACCTGCTAAAATTGGTCTAGGATGGGAAAAAGGAGGAAGAGACCAATAGAGGGGATAAGATTGATAGGAATATATTGTAAATATGTGAATGTCATGGTGAAATCTCTGTAACTAATATATGCTAATAAGAAAGAGTAGGCAAAAGATACATTCAATTATATTCTTTTGCAAAATGCACTGGGATATGATAAATTATACAGAACTCTAGACACACAGTGAAACCAAAAGAGGGTACTCTTAGGAGAGAAACAAAGGTGCAGTGCCTGCCTGTGTGCCTCTTCATAGTTACATAAAGTAATACACACACTGAAAGGAACTCCAGGATATGGAAACAAGAGACTTCTCTTTTTTCTCCCCTCCGCTTTTTTTTTTTTTTTAGATTTTAGTTTGTGATATTCTGTTTTCTTTTATCTTAAGTATGGTATATTCAAAAATACATCTTTAGGAGGGTTGAAGGGAAGATACAGAACTCGAGGGAAAAGGGTGAGAAAGTGCAGGAGTGCAGCTCACTGGACATGGGTGAAAATGACCTATACAACTCGGGTGGAGACGGGAGGCAGAGGCCGGGGGAGTGAGGGGCAGAAGACACTGCACAAAAGGAAATGCACCCATTGCCTGACTCATGTAAATGTAATCCTTCCATACATCACCTCTATAATAACAATAATGTAAACTTATAAATCTTTTGCACTATATAATAGGCTAGAGTTTGCTCTATAGTGCAATATAATAGACTTAAATATTAAAATACTCAGTATAAAAGAGTGTGAATAAACAATTCTTTTGCTTCATCAGAAGCTAGTATACAGTAGTAGTAAATGTAATATGTGTAAAAAGCATAGGCCAGTCAATGTTTGCTGTTACTCTTTTGTGTATGAAGTATTTCAAGTTGAAAAATTAATGAAACGTATCTTACTCAACATCTAGTCTATAATGAAGTTACACAGAAATGTATAAAAGATTTTTTAGGAAATTGCAACATAGTGGGAATTTTACCTATTCTGAAGATAAATTCTACCTTGTAGTTATCATAGCAGTTTCCCAGCTGAAGTGTCTTACCTGTCAATAGATACTGCATCATATTGTGGCTTGCTTATTGTTTGTTAAAGGTGATATGTCTGATTGTTTGTTCTTTACCTTCAAACTAACAGTGGTTTATCCGACACTATCATTCTGGATATAATATCGAACTACCTGGTGCTTCCCAATAGAATCACTGTTCCTCTTGTCAGTGAAGTGCAGATAGCTCAGTTGCGGTTTCCTATACCAAAGGTAAGCATGCTATAGCGTCTATAACACTAAAAATACCTTAAGGACTTGTGCAGACATGGGTTATCTGGGGTGGTGTAATTCCCCAGGTCTGTCTGAAGGTCTGCATTGCCACCTTTGTCCTGATGCAGTGGTGACTGTCCTGCTCTCCACCCTCTGCTGAACAGGTGTGCCTGTGACTCAGAGATCTCAAGGGGCTCATGAGCCTCAGTTGAGCTCCTTAGAGGTTCTGCAAACACTACTGTAAGTCATAATGACAGCTAGGAGCATCTTGACAGCCTCAGTCATTTCAGAGGGTATGTGCTTTGTTTGTCCTTTCTGGGATTGTAATTGCTCGTAGCAACATGAGAGACGAGGAAGGTTGTGATAGGATGGCGTGTGTAGGTGTCTCTCGGACATTGGAATGTGATTACTGCTGGTGTCAGTGTGCAGGGTGGCAGCAGAGGCCCTTGGATAGCAGCTGTCTGTGCAGAGTGGAACAGCAGAGCTGGAACTTGGTGGACATGTGGCAGAGCATGACTAGCGTCAAAGTTGTTTTTTTGTTTGTTTGCTTTTTGGTGCCAGATCTGGGCTTGATATCTGGGCCAGAGTGCTGCCTGTGAGCTTTTATGCTCAAGGCTAGCACTCTACCACTTGAGCCACAGCTTTATTTCTGACTTTTTTGGTAGTTAATCAAAGATAAGAGTCTCACAAGCATTCCTGCTAGGCTGGCTTTGAATCGCAATCCTCAGATCTCAGCCTCATAAGTAGTTAGGATGACAGGTGTGAGCTACCCTTCCCCAGCTTAGCATCAACTTTTACATCTGTAAAATGATAACTGCACTTGGCACACAGCTGGATCACAGACATACAGTCACCTTCAGTTGAGCAAACTGAAGTCTCACAAAGTGGTGAGGCTTGGTAGACAGGAAGTTCTGGTCATGAGGGTTAGTGGAGTAAGTGATTTTCACAATCCAGAGTGTCAGACACCAGATATGAGTCTGCATTATTTATATATATATATATATATATATATACATATATATGCATGTATTATTATATGTATGCATTATTTGCAGTAAGGAATACTACTGGTGCACACTAGGTTGTTTTATACTCACATAAGGAGTAAGCTGGTGCTGTTTCAAGTGTGTGTGTGTGTTTGTTTGAGTTAGAGAGAGAGAGACTGATGAACTCAGGGTCTCAAGCCCTCACTTAGCTTTTTTGCTTGGAGATAGTAATCTACCATTTGAGCTACACCTCCTTTGTTTCAGTTTTTGTTTCCTGAAGTAGAGATGTTTCCCTGATGCTTTTTACTTTTCCTGGCTAAATTAGATCTCAACAATAGTACATAAATCATCAAACATGCATGAACACACAGTAGATTTAATGTGACACTACATATTAGAATGTCTTTTTCTTTAATGTTAGATGCAGGAATCTTTCTTGACATATTTCTTTACTGTATGGACCTTTTTTCTCTGAGTGCAGTGAGCATTGAACCTTCCAGGTTCCAGCTGCCCTCCATCCCAAGGCTTAAAGGTCAATATTATACAAAGATGTTGCCAGATCATTTAACCTTTAGTCATATGAAAATATAAAGGAGAAATTTTCAATGTTTTTTAAGGGTGCTCATTCACAGAGAAGCTTATCTTGTGCTGATTGAGACAGGAATGTCACTCTGTAACCTTTTAAGAGTAGGGAGAAAATGGGACAAGACATCCTACTTTACCATCCAAACTTTACCACCTTTGTTTGCTTTGAAAGAAATATGAAGCTGGGCACCAGTGGCCCACACCTGTAATCCTAGCTACTCAGGAGGCAGAGATCTGAGGATTGAGGTTCAAAGCCCGCCAGGGCAGAAAAGTCCGTGAGACACTTATCTCCAGTAAACCACCAGAAAACTGGAAGTGGCGCTGTGGCACAAGTGGTAAAGTGCTAGCCTTGAGCTGAAGAGCTGAGGGACAGTGCCCAGGCCCAGAGTTTAAGCCCCATCATCAACAAAAAAAGAAAGAAAAATATGAGTGGACTTTTTTTGTCAGCTGTTTTAGAGAATAGACTATTTAAAGTCTACATGTAATACATATTTCAGAATTTCAGTTTACTCTTGGTTTAATGACAGTATTTCATAGGACTTTTCAAAAAATTGAGTGGTGTGGTTACTACCTATGAAGTACTTAGTGACAGGTCTGATGCACCTTCATGTCAGTTATTACTTAGAACTAGAGTGTAGAATCATTTGGTGAGCAGCATGGCTCTGTGTCTTCAGTTTCCTTTGGGGTTACGTTCACTGCCATGCTAGGACCTCTGTAGTCAGTGTTCCTGACACCCCAGTTCTTCCAACTGGGTCAGATACATAGCTGTCAACCAATCTCTGTAAATGAACCACAAATGCTTTGTTCTTCTTTTCAGGGTGTTTTAAGGATACATTTTATTGAAGCTCAGGATCTTCAGGGGAAAGATACTTACCTTAAGGGTCTCGTCAAAGGAAAGTCAGACCCCTATGGGATCCTCCGAGTGGGAAACCAGATCTTCCAGAGCAAGGTCATCAAGGAGAACCTGAGTCCCAAATGGAACGAGGTATATGAGGTAAGGGATTTGTCCTGCTGGGTTCCTTGGTGTGGTGCACTTGACACTGAGTTGGTGCATGGCCCTTTTCATTCCAAACTTCACATAGCAGTGTGGCTAATGTAAACCATTGCTTAAATTTTCTTTGCTTTAATTTCCCATCTTTAAAAAAGTATTTTCTCTTCCTCATAACAAACAAGAATGTTATGAGGAACATTTTTAAAGCTTAATTATATAGTGTTTTATATATACATATATACAATAAATAATTGGCAAAATATTCTTATGTATTTTTCTAATCATAAAATGTTACACGTGGTTATTAACACATATAAACACAAAGGTGAGATTCTTCTGTTGTATGAACCTTTCACTTAACGCATGCAGGCATGCATGGTATTTACACGCCAATGAACAGAGACCCCCTTGAGTTAAATGTCTTACTGCCTTGAATTTACAATTTTTCTGCTTCAGTCTTCCAAGTATTAGAATTAACACGTGTGGGCAGCTACACTGAGCTGAACTGTACATGATTTTAATTAACAACCATTCTTTTGAATGGTTGTGAATACCATCATTTACTCGTACTTGTCAGTGCAATATTATCAGCACACGTATAATGTGAATGTTTTCCACATGTGAAGCTCCTCAACGTGAATTGCTGGATCAAAAGGTACAGGTTTTTAAAGGACAGGATTCTTCAAAACAATAATGGATTTATGCTACTCCTGCTTCCTGACTCCCTGCCCTTTGTCAACCTGTGACTTCCTCATTTTCTTTTTCTCTGAGTGCTAACTGGGCAGTGGTTATTCTGTGGTTATTCTGAATGGAATTACTTCAGGGGTGCTGTATCCTGCATCTTTTCTCTGTCCTGGGCCTTGTACAGGGTGTGGGTGATGTTGTATTTGACCCAACAAGATGTAATGCACATAACCAGAAACAAGCACAGTGAGATGTTGCTATGTAGGCAAGTATTTTAGAATGCTTCAGACATCAGGAAGATGTGTGGTCTGACAATAAAAACAGCTTACTGCTAAAGTACATAGTCATATTTATTATAATCATCATAGCAGTAGATGACGGCTTTAGGGAGGCGGCAGTAACTCCTAACCATTCATTTTTCAGGCTTTAGTCTATGAACACCCTGGACAAGAATTGGAGATTGAACTCTTTGATGAAGACCCGGACAAAGATGACTTCTTAGGAAGGTGACGGGAAGTGTGGGAACTCCTCTATCACTGTCATAGATAGGAGCTTTCAATACATTTTAAAGTCGTTTTTAAATGTAATGTTTCACCTTCTGTTTCTCTCTTTCTTCTTCTTTCCTTCCTCCTCTCGTCTCCATCCTCCTCTTCGTCCCCATCTTCCTCTCCTCTCCCCTCCCCTCCCCTCCCCCTCCTCCCCCTTCTCTTCTTTTCTTTTTTGTCAGTCATGGGGCCTGAACTCTGGGCCTGGGCGCTGTTCCTCAGCTCTTTAGCTCAAGGCTAGCGCTCTGCCACTTGAGCCACAGCTCCTACTTCCAGCTTTTTCTGCTTATGTGGTGCTGAGGAATTGAACCCAGGACCTCATGCATGTGAGGCAAGCACTCTACCACTGAGCTACCTTCCCAACCCTCTTTTCTTTCTTTTTTCTTTTTCTTTTCTTTTCTTTTCTTTTCCTGTCCTGGGTCTTGAACTCAGGACTTTGGCACTCTCTCTGAGCTTCTTTTTGCTCAAGGCTAGTGCTCTACCACTGGAGCCACAGTGCCACTCCCAGCTTTTCCCAAGTAGTTTATTGGAGATAGGAGTCTCACAGACTTTTCTGTCTGGGCTAGCTTCAGATCACGATCCTCAGATATCAGCCCTCTTGTGTAGCTAGGATTATAGGCAAGAGCCAGTAGTGTCCCATCTTCTGTTCTTCAAGTATTATTATTTCTTCTTCTTTTTTTGGGGGGGGGGGGGTCCAGTCGTGGGCCTGAACTCTGGGCCTGGGCAGTTCCCTCAGCTCTTCAGCTCAAGCTAGCGCTCTACCACTTGAGCCACAGCGCCACTTCCGGCTTTTTTCTTTTTGCTTATGTGGTGCTGAGGAATCGAACCCAGGGCCTCAAGCATGCAAGGCAAGCACTCTACCACTGAGCCACCTTCCCAGCCCACTAAGTATTATTATTTCTAAAAGGGCCTTGTTGTGTGTTGCAGTAACAGCTAGCCCAAGGACCCCTTGAGTCAGGTTTAAACACATGAGAGGTCCAGAGGCTACACTCAGAGATGCCTATGTGCAGGTGCCTACAGGGGTGCTTTGTCCTGGTTTGTAAAAGTAGCTTTTTTTAGTTTGGCCTATACATTGTGATAATAAATGTCAATTTATTTTGTTTCAGTTGAATGACTAATAGCTGAAAAAAAGTGAGCTAAAAAAAAATTATAGGGCCAGTTTGTTGGATTTAGGCCTGTGCCCGTAGTACTAGCTACTCCAAAAACAGGAGTAGGAGAGTTTGCAGTCCTGAGCCCAGCTGAGACAAAAGCACCAGACCCAAGCTACAAGCGAAGGGCTGGGAATGTGGCTCCAATGATAGAGTGCTTGGCTAGCAATGAGGTCTTGAATTCAAAGTATCACCAAAAAATTATTTTTCTATTTGATCTTTTTTCCCCCTTGGTATTAGGGCTTGAAGTCAGGGTCTTAATCTCACGCATAACTTGTTCATTCAAGGCTAGCATTCCACTACTTGAGCCACAATCCCGCTTCTGATTTTTTACTTGTTTATTGGAGATGAACGTCTTACAGACTTTTCTGCCCAGACTGGCTTTGAAGTGTAATTCTCAGATATTAGCCTCCTCCTAAGTAGCTAGGATTACTGGTGTGAGCCACCAGTAACAGTCCTTCTAATCTATATTATTTAACCTTGTTATTGTGTGTGTGGAGGGAACATGGCACCAGTGGCTCATGCCTATAATTCTAGGTTTTCAGGAGTCTGTCTGAGGAGTCTGTCTGTCAAGGTTCAGAACCAGCCCTAGCAGGCAAATACTCAAGAGTCTATCTTTAGTTAGCTAGCAAAAAGCTGGAATTGAAGATGTGTGGCTCAAGAGGTAGAGTGCCAGCCATGAGCAAAGGCCCTGAGTTCAAAACCTGAGTTAAAACCCCAGTGCTGGCACGCATGCGCGTGTTAGCGTACACACACACACACACACACACACACACACACACGCACGCACGCACGCACGCACGCACACAGAGATATAGGAGTGGGTGACATTGCTGAGGTTTAGGAGTGGGTGACATTGCTGAGGTTTGTGCTTTTTCTGAAGTAATCTTGTATGTTATACCTGATTTGAGACTATCTAAGATTTTATGTGTTGTGTTCTGACTTGGGTATCTGTGGCTGCAAAAGAAAACTGAAGTAAAAGCAACTTCAAGAGGAATGTTGTGAGATCAAATGTGTTCTGGTAAACTTAGTGTGTAGACTGGAGGCTAACAGATCAACCAGGGTTAGGAAATGAGGGTTTACACTAAGACCTAGACTGCAGGGGCAGAGGGAAGGGTGTGTAAAGAGGAATGCAAGTACAATCGTCTTAGTCATTCTCACTCCTGTGGGGGTCGCCATCCTTTGAACCGGAGAAAGGTTTTGGAAATAGAGCAGGGTTCTTTTTGGAAATTGAGCCCCAAAGGCCTCTGTAGGACTGGATACTCTGTGTGTCTGGAGTCTGCAAGCGCAGGTGGAAGGTCCGAGTTACAATTCAGTACGAGAGCAACTGATCCATGGGGATTGGGGATCAGGAATGGAGCAGCACCAGCGGAGAATTTGTAATGTAAGAGAGTTGAGCTTTTTTTTGTCAGTCTCTTGGCTTGGACACTGCCCTGTGCTTTTCAGCTCAAGGCTAGTGCTCTACCACTTGAGCCACAGAACCACTTCTGGTTTTCTGGAGGTCTATTGGAGAGAGTCTCACGGAGGGGGTGGGAAGGTGGCTCAGTGGTAGAGGGCTTGCCTTGCATGCATGAGGCCCTGGGTTTGATTCCTCAGCACCACATGAGCAAAAAAAGAAAAAAATAAAAGGATATAGTCTCACAGAGTTTCCTGCCTGGGCTGGCTTTGTAACTGTGATCCTCAGATCTCAGCCTTATGAGTAGCTAGGATGACAGGCGTGAGCCACCAGCACCTAGCCAAGAGTGCCCGGCGAGTTGAGATATTTTTAAATATTTTCAGTGCATACTTCATTGTAGGAAAGACTAGGGTTTTTTAAAAAATCATTTATTTACTTATTTATTTATTTATTTTTGTCGGTCATGGGGTTTGAACTCTGGGCCTGAGCACTGTCCCTCAGCTCTTCAGCTCAAGGCTAGCATTCTACCACTTGAGCTACAACACCACTTCTGGTTTTCTGGTGGTTTATTGGAGATGAGTTTTACGAATTTTCCTGCTTGGGCTGGCTTTGAACCGTGATCCTCAGATCTCAGCCTCCTGAGTAGCTAGGATGACAGGTGTGAGCCACCCAGCGCCTGCCTTTTTTTTTTTTTTGTCGGTCATGGGGCTTGAACTCTGGGCCTGGGCACTGTTCCTTATCTCTTTAGCTCAAGGCTAGCGCTCTACCACTTGAGCCCCAGCACCACTTCCATGATTTTTTATTTTTTATGGCTCTGATTTCAGCTGAGCCAAACTTGGAATTCTGACTTTTAGAAACTAAATCTTAGTCTTGTCCTCACTTCTCTGGACGTTGTTAGGAATATGCTGGGTAAACCTTAAGGAATGCAGCCTGTTTCCTAGCAAACTCTAGCACTTGGTTGCATTTCTGGAGTACCTTTTCAATGCGCATGTTTGAGGTCATTTTAGTCACAAAATGTGGGTGTTCTAAAGGTGTTTTCCTGTATTTTGTTTTTCCTATAGTCTTATGATTGATCTCATTGAAGTGGAGAAGGAGCGCCTTTTAGACGAAGTAAGTTTTCTGCAGTGAAATAAGCATTGCCTCCTGTGTGTGACCCCAGAAGGGCTGCGGCTCACTTTCCCACTCAGCCATTGTGGGGAAGCTGGACAAGAGACATGTGCTTCACAGATACAGAGAATCTAGCAGGCCTGTGCTAGAGTGGGTTCAGTGGTAGAATGCTTGTCCAGCATGCACCTTATAAGCACTGAACATGCATATAAGCACATACATGCACATTCATACATACACACAGAACGTAGGCCTTTAACAACAAAGTAAAAATGAAGTTAAGAGTCACATGAGATGGAATGCCTAGAATACTTAGTATGTGCTAGAAATTCTTATAGAATACACAACTATCTATTGCAGACAGACCTTCATGCCAAGGCAGGCATTAGGGCAAAGATGTAGGTGAGCCGCTCAGTAATGAGGATTGTCACTGTAGCTGCAGTGAACAGCAGAGACATACATGCACTTAGCCTGTTAAAGGTACCTCTAAGTGCTACAAAAATGTACAGCAGAAAATACTTCTAGTGGAGATGTTACTAACAGAATTAAACAGGAAGGGTGGGGAGGAGGGGGGGCAGCAGGGGGCGCTGGGGAGATGGGAAGGGGAAACAAAGGAGGAGGCAACAATGCTTAATAAGAGATATACTCATTACCTTGCCCATGTAATTGTAACCCCTCTGTACGGTATTTTCATAATAAAAAAAAAAAGAATTGCACAAGAAGAATGTGAATTGGCTTCCAAAAGGTGAGTAAAATTGAGGCACATGAAGTTTAAAACTAAATCAGTATTTTGACTTTGCAGCCTTTAAAGCAGAATCTTCCTGCCCATGAGGGTTCAGTGTCCATGTAGCAAGTGATTCTGTGTGCCTTCTTGGACTCTGAGCCGGAGGCTTCTGTGGGACTGGATGCTTCGTGGGTCTCAAATCTGGAATCACATGTGAAAGGGCGTCTGAGTTAAATTTCAGTACGTGAGCACCTGCGTCCAGACATAGCACAGTGTTGAACAGAATAGACAAAGACCTGTGCTCTGCCTGGCCTTTCCTTATTGGATGTTTGAAGACCCTCTTTGGTTATCTCTTGTGATTTTGTTTTGTTTTTAATTGTTATTTTTAAGGGGTTGTACAAAGGAGCTATAGTTTTATTGTTTTTTTATTTTTATTTTATTTATTTATTTTTGTTCATTGTGGAACTTGAACTCTGGGCCTGGGCACTGTCCCTCAGCTCTTAAACTCAAGGCTAATGCTCTACCCCTTGAGCCATAGCACCATTTCCGGCTTTTTCTGTTTATGTGGTGCTGAGGAATTGAACCCAGGGCCTCATGCATGCGAGGCAAGCGCTCTACCACTGAGCTACCTTCCCAGCTCTTAAAGAAGAAATGAAATTTTGCTTATTTTTATTTATTTTTTTGTGTGTTGGTCGTGGGGCTTGAACTCTGAGCTTAGGTGCTGCTCCTGAGTTCTCCAGCTCAAGGCCAGCACTCTACCACTTGAGCCACAGCACCATTTCCGGGGTTACAGTTTTATAACTCAGGTTGTGAGAACAGTGCTACTTGGGCATATCCCCTTCTTGGCTTTCCCACACACAGCATGATGGTGGTCATAACCTCACAGGGGTTTTTGTGAGGGTGAATAGATCCTTTAGCTTGTCTCTGGGCAGTCAGGGCAAGGTCATTACATACTCAGGACAGACTAAGTGCAAATTAAGTCCTTCTGTGCTGTTGAAGAACTGTCCATGCACACAGTCAGCACACAGTGCCGTATTGGTAGAGACAGTTTCAGTCCGCAGTTGACACTCATAAGAACTTCTGCTGAACATAGCACCTTTTTTCAGTGGTTCTCACTGGACGAAGTTCCCAAAGGAAAGCTGCACTTAAAGCTGGAGTGGCTTGCACTATTACCGGACGCATCGAACCTCGACAAGGTGCGTGAAGGGTCTGTTCTTAATGACCAATCGCTCAGGATCTAGGATCAGTCTCTGACCGTGTTGCTACTTGACAAAAACAAAAAACAGAACAACACACACACATACACACATAAATGTATGTCTGTATGTAAGTTTGTGTATGTGTATATAACACTAGTCTTTATTATGCCATTAGTTACTACAGTAATGTCAGGAATAAGTTAAAACATTAAAGAACTGCAAGTTATTATACTTGTTCTATAAGATCTTCAAATTTGTGCTTGTAATGGAAGAGATTCGGAATGATATAATCATTGTGTGAGTACTTTTAGTAAATAACCTCTTTTTTTGGGGTGGGGGGCTGGCCATGGGGCTTTAAACTTGGGGTCTGGTGTTGTCCTTAAGCTCTTTTGCTCAAACCTAGCACTCTCCTACTTTGAGCCACAGCTCTACTTCTCATTTTCTGGTGGTTAATTGGAGATAAGAGTCTTGCTGACTTTCCTGCATGGGCTTGATTTTAATCATGAGCCTGAGATCTCAGCTTCCTGAGTAGTGAAGATTTACAGGCATGAGCCCCCAAGACCCAGCTAATAAATACTTTTTAAATGTTATTTCATACACATCAAAGGGTATGAAATAACATTTGAGAGATACTGTTTCTGTTCTTGGTCTGTTGAATGCATTGAATGGTTTATTTCTCAGCTTTTTCTCTTGATCATAAATGACACAGTACAGTCAACTGGGAACAACCTGTCCTTGGTGAACATGAACCTGCTGAGATACTTCCTTCCTTTCTAGGTGCTGGCAGATATCAGAGCTGACAAAAACCAAGCCAATGATGGTCTTTCTTCTGCATTGCTGATTTTGTATTTGGATTCAGCAAGGAACCTTCCGGTAGGTTATACAATAACTCATTTGGGTACTTTACTCCTGGTAGCAGATCTTGCTTGGAAATCTCTACTTTGTTCAGTCATGATGTGCCATGTGGTTTTGTCTGGCTATGTGTTCAATTCAGTGCAGGAGAGTAGCAAAAGAGAAGTGTGAGTTAACATTTTGCAGGTTCACCATTATTTCTATTAGAACTTTGTTTGCTAAAATGGGAATAGTCTCTGTTTGGAACAGGAATGAAATAAAACTGCTCTGAGCACAAACTCCAAAAACGGGGTGCAGTACCCAGAGCTGCTGAAGCCAGGCAGCCACCAGGGTGCCAGGTGCAGGTTGGCGCTGCTGGCCAGACATGCTGACCTTCAGGTAGCCAGGGTGGTTCAGAGAACAGAGAGGACACACAAGTGATGTTTCACTGCCCAAAAGATAGTTTTGTTTGTTTACATCAGCATTGTTTTGTTCTTAGAGAAAACACAGTCTTAAAAATAACAGTTGGGCTGGGAAGGTGACTCAGTGGTAGAGTGCTTGCCTTGCATGCCTGAGGCCCTGGGTTCGATTCCTCAGCACCACATAAGCAAAAAAAGACAAAGAAAAAGAAAAAAGCTGGAAGTGGTGCTGTGGCTCAAGTGGTAGAGCGCTAGCCTTGAGCTGAAGAGCTGAGGGACAGCGCCCAGGCCCAGAGTTCAGGCCCCACGACCGGACCCAAAAAAAGAAAAAAAATAACAGCTAACTTTGGAAAAGGGAAATCCTACCAATCCAATCATTTTAGGCACAGGGTGATTCTCCACTGTCATGCTTTAAACCCAGTATTTAGGGTATGTCATTGTTATAAATGTGACATTGTTTGTTAATTTTTCTGATCATCCTATCTTTGTCTACTGGGTAGACATTTTTTAATTTCCTTGTGCCAATGGCTGGTTTTGTTGAAAGGAAGACTACCGCTGCCAGGCACAGAGGCTCCACCTCCAACATCTTTCATTGCATAATTATTTTTACTTAGTAAATCTCATCACAGAAACACTTGGCTTTTTCAACACTCTGTTTTGGACCTTTCCAGTATAATCCAACCTTGCTGTGGGAAAACTGTGTTTCTTTGTGGTTGATAGAATGGTTTTCATTTAGCATCTTTCAAGTTTTTAACATTGTACATTTACTTAGACTTTTCAAAAAAAGTAAATGTACTTTTTGAATCAATATATTTTATTTCAAGTTAATAAAAATACAATTGAACATTTATTTTCTACACTGGGAAGATGTAATTGTTGTTATAACTGCCTGTAATTGTACTCTTTCTTTCAATGAGGATTTCTTGACTGATTTTAATTTCTTGAATTCTTAACTTTTCTGAATGTTTGATCAGTCCGTTTAGGTAAAGTCTATGACCTGTTGAGCATGGTGGTACATGCTTGTAATCCCAGCACTTGCAAGGCTGAGGCAGAAGGAGCATGAATTTGAAATCAGCCTAGGCTTCTAGTGAGATCATGTCTCAAACAAAATAAATCTGTGACCATATCTGTTAGAATTTCAATTTGCATAAGGTACTTTATTATTATTTAGCCTTTTTATAGAATTTCTTACCAATAGAACTTTCTGCTTTTGATCATGGTAGTGTTTACTATACACTGTTGTTTATAATGTCTGATAAAAGTAAATTTCTTGTATATTTTATCATAGAAATAACAGAGGTGGCCAGGCTCTGGTGGCTCACACTTATAATCCTAGCTACTTAGGAGGCTGAGATCTGAGGATCGTAGTTTAAAGCCAGCCCAGACAGTAAAGTCCATGAGACTCTTTATCTCCAGATAACCACCAAAAAAACAGAAGTGGAACTATGGCTCGGAGTGGTAGAGCGCTGGCTTTGGCCAAAAAGAAAAACGCTCAGGGACAGTGCCGAGGTCCTGAGTTCAAGCCCCACAACCAACAAAAAAACAAAAGAGAAATACTGGAGTTCGTGAACTGGCAAGAAAGGATTTGGCCTCTCTGCAGAACTGTGTGCTTTGTAATATCAAAGTGAAATTCTAATACTGTCACATAAGCAAAGAGGCAGTGAATGCGCTGCCCTTCTGTCAGGGGAGTACTCTGGATGTGGCAGTGCCGTGGCTGTTGGAGGCACAGCATCCCCGCACAGCCACTACTCCGCGAGGTATCTGGAGTAGCCGGAGCCTTGGCTGGCCAGGCCCTCTGTGTGGGGGTCCTCCTCGAGACTCTGTCTCAGCAGTCCTGTTTGTTTGTGCTTCTGTGCTTCTGGTGTGTACACACTGACCACAATCCACCATTCTTTGCTTTCTCTTCCCATCTCCACTTTCCTAAGAGTATCTACGAGGGAAACTTTGGGTGTGGCTACTTAAAAGAAAGGCGAGCGTCGGGACTAGTGTTTTGTGAGAATACTACCTCAGTCTATAGAGCACTATTTGTGAGTCCTCCAGCTCCTTCTTCTTCTGCCCAAGTGTGGCCTGGAACGTTTGTGCAGTCTGTTCCTTGGAATGATGTGCATGCCGTTTTCCGTTCCTTGCATGATTTCAGTTACTGTGTCTTCCCTTGGTGCTGTTTTTGTAGAATGTCACACTCTTGGGTAGTGCATCAGACATGAGATGAGCTAACCTAAGATTCTTCAACTGCTACTGACCCATAAGAACTAGAAAAGCAAAAAAACAAAAAACAAAAAACAATTTTAAAAAGTCCTTTGAGGAAGAAGTAAAGCCATAATGCTAAAATTTATCATCTATAGTTCATGTCAATCTGAGATGTGAATATTTCTTTTACAAGACTTTCTTAAATCTCCTTTTTCCTTCTGACCAAGTATAACAGTGTTAGAAACTGGCCCCCTCCTGTCTGTACCTTATATGTCTCTCTTGGTCACTAGACAGGGTCATGTGCAGCCAGGGTCACCCAGCTAGCGAGAGCCTGCCTTCTACCAGTGGCCTGGCCAGAACCCTCAGAGCAGAAAAAAGCTGCATTGGGTTCAGCTTCTTTCTAAGAAGGAAGAATTAAGTTTCCTAGAATAGTTGAGCATTTTGTTTTGATCTCATTATATCTGCTTCCTGTGCTGTGTATGGGGCCTTTACTCCCACTAATATCCTGGTTGATATCTAGTCTTACTCTATGATCATTGAATACTACTAATAACTCACTTATTAGTCTAGAAAGTCACTCTTGAGACTCACATAATAATCAGTGACATTCCTAAAGTCCTCTAGTCCTTTGGGTCCAGTAATGAAAGGACTTGGCGTTTTTGTAGAGCATTCCTTTGTTTCCAAAGGCTTTCCACATCCACCCTCAGTTTATTATCAGGGGCTGAGGAGGACCATACTTAAAGAAGAAGTATTTGTCTCATTTTCTAGATGAGGAAAACCTTGACTCCAGCAGGTAGGCAAGTCCCTTGGCACCTTCCTGGCCTTGTCCACTTACCTTTGTAAGGCCTTTTTAAAAGTCAGAAGGAAGTCAGTGTGGGAGAACACTCCTGTAATTCCAGTACCCCAGTGGCTGAGTCAGGAAGCTCTTATGCTTGAGGCCAGCCTGGGTTATATACATACTAAAATCCTATCTCAAAAAACAGAAGTCAAGAGGAGATTAGCAGTGATGTATATATAATGTTTTAAAAAATCACTTCTGGCCAGCGCCAGTGGCTCACGCCTGTCATCCTAGCTACTCTGGAGGCTGAGATCTGAGAATTGCGGTTCAAAGCCAACCTGGGCAGGAAAGTCCATGAAACTCTTCTCTCCAATAAGCCACCAGAAAACCTGAAGTGGCGCTGTAGCTGAAGTGGTAGAGTGCTAGCCTTGAGCCGAAGAGCTGAGGGACAGCACCCAGGCCCAGAGTTCAAGCCCCACGACCGACCCCCCCAAAAAAAAAATCACTTCTGCTTCTAGTATTTCTTGGTGGAAAACATCATAAACAGTGTAAATGACAGTATCACTGTGCCATTTGCACTCTGTCAATCTTAGTGTCTCTTTTAACTTTTCTAAGTTGCTTTTTCCTAATCTACAACTACTTCCCTGTCAGATTTGTAAATTGCTTTGTAGTATTTAGCCTATGACATTTCTTGGTTCTCAAAATTATTTTCTTTGTACATTGTCAGAGCACATTGTACTTTATAACTAGGATGCATGAGACACGTAAATGCTCATAGAATAAATGTGGGCACTTCCTTTTTACCCACTGGTTTCCTATAAGAAATCAGATCAGCTTTCTCAGTCTTTGACATCAGACTGAGGTATCATCTTACTTTCCACTTGCTTCAGACAGCTTTAATTGCCATTCCAGGGGCATATTGGCAACCTAAAAATGATGCAGCAGGACCTTACTGGGTTATAAATGGCCCCTTTTATTATAGACTCCCAGGACTTGACCCTTCTCCTTCCAAACTCTGCCCTGCCCCGCCTTCCTGACCAAACCCTGTTCTCCAACTTTAGGCCTGCACACTGAGGGTATTCTGACTATGATGGCCAGGACAGCTTTAGAATCTTAGGCTTATAATACTGTGTTTACAAGTACTTTCCAACATCTAAGTGATCAGGCTGTGAGGGATCCATGTGTGTATCTAATTTAGTCTGTAAAGACAGCACAGAGGCCACAAGTGACTGAGACTAGAGAGCTGCAGCCACGTCACTTGATGTGTTTATGGACGCACAGCTCTGTGCTTGGAGTTCATCTGAAGCGAGGGGCATTTACATAATGCCTGCTTTAAGTGTAACCATGAGGTTTTTGCCCACTTGAGTGGTACCTATCTATAATCTTAACCCTAAGGAGGCTGAGGTAGGAGGATCTGGTCTATGTAAAATGTTGCTAGCCTGAACAATATAGCAAGACCTTGTTTTAAAAAACAACAAAAACACTTGACAACTCTATAATAGCAACTCTTGTATTCACCCATAAGGACAAGTATGCCTCTGTTATTTTGGCTTTTGCTTAAGCAAAAAAGTATAGGTGCTACTGCCGCCTCCGTGGATGGTCAGGGGTCTAGAAGTACATGGAGCCTGCCTTCTGCCTCTCAACCCTAGATACCAGTCCAACGCATCTCAGTTACTAGTCTGTCTGGCCTCCAGGCCGTGCAGCTTGCTGTGATCACACACAGTTCCTCTTGCATGCCAGTTTCACACCACAGCTGCTTTTGTCCCCATAACTGATGCATGGTACACTACCAGGCACATTTGGTCCAGCCATCTCTGCCTAGCATGAGCTTCAGGAAAGGCCTCACTCTTGAAGGCAGCCTCCTATGACCCATAGTGTGCAAGCTGATGGCGAGTGCCTTCTCCAGGCACCAGCCAGAGATGGAAGAAGTGGTTTTATGTCTTTGGAGAGCCCTGCAGACTGAACAGATACCTCGAACTGAGTATCATGGACTCCTGGCTTCCCAGGTGCTCCACCTTCCCACACACTCAGCACCAATCATAGAAGACTGGGAAGCTATCTTCCTCCATGACCACATCTGCTGCTTGACACAAAGGTACACATCAAGTTCAGTTTGCCATCTGAAGTTAATTACAGCTACACTGATAAAAGCCTTTAACTTCAAAACATTAGTCCAGGAAGTAACTTGCAAAAGAATTCAGTCTTACCTTTATGAAAGTAACAGGTTGAAAACAACTCAGTGGGGCTGGGAAGGTGGCTCAGTGGTAGAGCGCTTGCCTTGCGTGCATGAAGCTCTGGGTTCAATTCCTCAGCACCACATAAGCAGAAAAGGCCAGAAGTGGTGCCTGTGGCTCAACTGGTAGAGCGCTCACCTTGAGCTGAAGAGCTGAGGGACAGCGCCCAGGCCCAGAGTTCAAGCCCCACGACCGGACCAAAAAAAGAAAAAGAAAACAACTCAGTAAAAGGACACCAAACCCAAGATGTAGGATACAATTTAAACCCAAGAGAAATGACCTTTTCAGCCTCTACGGTGGGTTCACACAGAGCGGCCCTGCTTTTGCAAGAAGGCCTGGCTGAGGCAGCACCCAGCACGCCTCAGATGACACCCGAATGGCAGGGATACGGTAGAGGCTCACTTGGCAGAACCTTTCCCCAGGCTTCACTCCGGCATTCCCAGCTCACTAAGGCCAGGGTTGAGAATAAAGGACTGCTGAAGATAAATGTGTTTTGATATTTCTGGATTAAGGTCACTCTAAGGTAAAATTCTGAACATAAAGAAGAATTTAATAGTTGTGTGTGCTACTTAATTTGGTTTAAATTTTGTTTATTTTCATAATTTCCATGTCATTAACCTTACATAAACTCCTCATTGCATGTTTTATTAACCCTTGGTGTATTCGTTTTCTTCTGATCTGAAAGAGTAACCCATTAGACTTTAACCCCGGTGTCTTGAAGAAGTCTGCAGTTCAGAGAGCTTTAAAGGTAAACGAAGTGTTCTCTTGAGGTCATGGTGTTAATCAAGACATATTGAAAGAGATGATACTTGGGCTCTCGTAAGTATGTGGGCAGATTTCCTCCCACCTTAATGTAATTGTCCGGTAAAAAGAGATCCAGCTTTTGTTATCCAAGAATTGGAAAGAAGAAATTAATAATGTACAAAAATATGATAAATTAGATTTCTTTGTGTCTCTAAAGCAATTGAAACATCCATATTTTGTTTGGATTTGTGAAAATGGAGACCTAGTTCTATTTATAGTCTTGTCCAACTTTTGCGATATGATTTAAAGACCCACCTTACAAACTGTGCCTGCAACATCAATTAATCACCTCTTCCAATATGTTGAGTAGGGGCCTCTCTGAGTCAACAACCTCATGTCTTTGGTGCTGTGGGTTTGGGTAACAGATCTTTCCAGAAGCTTTAAATTTTCAAATGAGGTATATTGAAAACTAAGCTCCACCCCCTAAAACTTGACACTGCCCTGTATTCTGTAACTTGTTTGTTAAAAGTTCAATCACTTCAATGCTTTTCCCCCCAGGTTTAAGCCTAAATAAGGAAGGGTGTTAAATATGATTGTCTTAAGAAAATTCCCAAAGAACCAGGAAGTTTTTAGCCAGTTTCACGGGAGAAAAGTTAAAATTTCAAAGATAAAGGACGCTGGGGAAAGAAGGCTTTTCAGTGCTTGTACCTGATTCTGAGTGGTGGTGTGTGGGTCAGGGGTTGCATCCTGTGAGTGCAGGTCAGCACGCGGTGAAATGCCTGCACCGCCTTGGCCCTGGAGGGACCCAGGACAGCCCTCCCAGATCCCTGCCCCTTGCTGTTGGAAGGTTATTGCTCTGCAGATGTCAGGCTGCTCAGCACTTCGATCCATAGGGATGTTTAACCACTTGTTTAATCAAGATGAAAGTATTCTCCATTGGATTACTAAATTAAAGTAAGGCATACTAAGGGCCAGATGCCTGGCTCAATGATACAGAACTTGCCTGGCAAGCACATGGCCCTAAGTTCAAACCCCATAACCCTCTCAAAAAGCATATGGACGTGCATTGTGTAGGAAAGCAGGTGCATTAAGATCATGGTGTCACATTAGTTCATTTAAGCTTAATATCAAGTGCTAGAAATGGCATTATGTCCGGTTTGTAGATGTAGGAGCTAAGGATGAGATTGATGAAACAGTCGGGTGCCAGTGGCTCACGCCTGTCATCCTAGCTACTCAGGAGGCTGAGATCTGAGGATGGCAGTTCAAAGCCAGCCCGGGCAGGAAAGTCCATGAGACTGATCTCCAATAAACCACTAGAAAACCAGAAGTGGTCTGTGGCTCAGGCCATGGAGCACTTGCCTTGAGCTGAAGAGCACAGGGACAGCGCCCAGGTCCAGAGTTCAAGCCCCACGACCAACAAGAAAAAAGAGAGAGAGATTGATTAAACAATTAGGTTTCACTAGGCGAGAGATAAAAACCTGAGATTTTAATTTCAAGATAGTGTGACTTAAAAGCTTACATTTTTGGGCTGGGACGGTGACTCAGTGGTAGAGCGCTTGCCTTGCATGCATGAGGCCCTGGGTTCAATTCCTCTACCACATAAGCAGAAAAAGCCACAAGTGGTGCTGTGGCTAAGTGGTAGAGCTCTAGTCTTGAGCTGAAGAGCTGGGGGACAGCGCCTAGGCCCAGAGTTCAGGCCCCACAACTAACAAACAAAAACAACAACAACAGAAAACAAACATTTTCATTATGCTTTATATCTTTGCCTTGTGTTGGTGCATTTTGGGTACTGTGTTATTGTAGGAAACTTAATGAATAATTTAATCTTGTTTCATATAATCTAAAATGTCATCCATATTGAAGAACATCATTATTTTATGTACCACTAAGAAAGACTATAAAATGTCAGCTAAATTTTGACAGTATTTATTTTACATTTAGGAGATACATATACACACACACTAAGTATATTCCTCACACACATATATAAAAGCAAAATGTAAGCATGATGAATTGGTTAAGATGGTTACACTTATTCACTACTGCAAACTACTCAAAAAGCAAGTATGTGGTATTATCAATGATAAGTTCCCATCTGTTTTCAGAGATGTTACAAAGTAGGGAATAAGTGTGTCTTTCAATTGTAAAATACACTAAATCTATTCCAGGTGCTGGTGACTTATACCTATAATCTTAGCTACTCAGGAAGCTGAGATCTGAGGATTGGATCACAGTTTGAAGCTGCCTTCACAGTCAGGATATTCTGTGAGATTCTTATCTCCAATTCACCAGTAAAAAGCTGAAAGTGTGGATTTGGCTCAAATGGTAAAGCACCCAACTTGAGCCAAAAAGCCCATTGAGAGAATGAGGGCCTCCGTTCCAGCCCCAGCCCCAGCCTACACATACATACACACAAGACACAGTGAATTCCAGGGAATCATAGACTACTCTTCAGAGATGAAGTACTTGTACTAGTTTGGAGACAAACTCGTTGTCTGTGTCAAAGAGCCAGGATAGCACCGGTTGACGCATGATATGCTGATAGCCTCATGGATGAGATCTGGGAAGGGATATGCCTTTTAAATCTGGCCCCATTTATCTACAAGGGACGTGTATGCAAAGAATTTTATTCACAGAGGACTGTGGTCAGCACAGACTTGAGGATCCTAATATTAAACGAAGAAAGAAAAAAGTGAATTAGGGAGAAATCAGTGCTCTCTGCCACAGTTGTCTGAAGCATTGGATATTTCTTTAACAGCATTTATTTCATTTTGCAGAATTCATTCACATCAAAAAAGATGAACCAGAAAATAGATTGTCACAGTAGGTTTGCGATAGTAATATTTTCCCAATAATAATGTGATTTTCACACCTATTTCTATCATTGCCGCAGTGTTGAGGATTGACTCTAAAATTTTGTAGCTAAAAACATTTTTGTGACCCTCTAATTAATTGTCACTAACAGATATTTAACTATATCTTCTTATGGGGCTAAGTTATAAATAAACCTCATGTCACATATCTGTTGTATTTTGCTATGTTTTCTTCTATCAGCTGTCTGTGATGATGCCGCTTGCTATTTTTTTATTTCTGAAATTTTTATAATTATGTTTTCTTAATTTCATGCAATTCTAAGCTGACATTCTTGTAGTCAAAATTAGGTAGTACCTAATAATCAAGATTTGAAGTCTGATAGCTATGTGTTCTTGAGCAGAGGATGTTAGATTAAAAATGCAAGGCTCATATCTGAAAACTTAGTGTTTTGTTATTCCAACTGGAGAATTTTGAATTATCATTCTTTTACATTTGTCTTCTCATGGTTCTTAAGAATTATAATTAACATTAAGTGTTAAAAGAGCCAGGTTCTGATAGCTCAGACCTCTCATTCTAGCTATTCAGGAGGCTGAAATCTGAGAATCCCAGTTCAAAGTCAGACCAGGCAGAAAATTCCCTGAAACTTTTATCTCCAACTAGCCACCAGAAAACTGGAAGTAGAGCTATGGCTCAAAGTGGTAGAGAGCTAAATTTGAGCAAAAAGAGCTTAGGTGCAGCACCCAGGCTCTGAGTTCAAGGCCTATGACCGACCACCCCCCTCCCCGCCCCCCCCCCCCCCCAAAAATGTTAAAAGATTGAGTTTTCCCCAATACGCTGCTTAACTTTTAACTTTATCATTTAAGGATAGTGTGTAGCCAGACAGTGGTATGTGTGTGTCTGTAGTTGTAGCTACTCAAGAGGCAGGAGGATCAGGCAAGCCTGGGATTCAAGACCAGCCTGAACAGCAGAGCTGAGACCCCTAAAAAGTGTGAATGAAAGTTTTCTTAATTTATTTTATGGTATAAACAGGTATGGGTTAGGGTGTGCCTTGAAATTGTTTTCCAGCTAAATTGTTCTCAAGTATCCTTTGTATCTGAAATATCAGAGATAAATAGATACAACTCATAATTTTGGCCAATAGTTTCATTTTTAGTAGAACTCATTTAGAAATGTGTCTAATAATTTTATCTATTTTGTTTTTGTTTTGGGGTAGTCAGGGAAGAAAATAAACAGCAACCCAAATCCTCTTGTCCACATGTCAGTTGGTCACAAGGCTCAGGAAAGTAAGGTAAGGCACTCACATGTGGCTGATTTTCTGACACTACCTTAATATGATCACAATTACCACTGTCACCATCCAGCGCTGTTCCAGGTATATGGCGTGTGGCTGCCAGGACCGTCGTGTTCTCTTTTTTTCCCCCTTTAAAGCCATCATTTAATAGGTAACCAACTACCTACTTTGTAAATGAATGTGTTTCTATTTTTTAAAATAACTTTAAAAGTACTATATGAATGATTTCATGGATATGTGGGAAAAATGCCCAAGTTTCCTTTGATCAGCCTACAAATAGCTTTAAGCTAACCAAAAGTACTTAAATCCACCACATATAGTTTAGGTCCAAGGCTTGAAATAAAGTATTGCTGTTGTTTTAATATGTCTTTCTCACTGACTTTTAGCAATTATTCAGTGACAGGTCACTGTTTACTGAGAGTCATCTCCATTTAACCAACAGAAAACTGGAAGTGGTGCTGTGGCTCAAGTGGTAGAGCGCTAGCCTTGAGCTGAAGTGCTCATGGACAGTAGTGCCAAGCCCAGAGTTCAAGGCCCACGACCAACAAAAAAAGTGGGGGGCTGGGAAGGTGGCTCAGTGGTAGAGTGCTTACCTCCCATGCATGAGGCCCTGTGTTTGATTCCTCAGCACCACATAAGCAGTAAAAGCCAGAAGTGGCGCTGTGGCTCAAGTGGTAGAGGGCTAGCCTTGAGCTGAAGAGCTGAGGGACAGCGCCCAGGCCCAGAGTTCAGGCCCCAGGACCAACCAAAAAAAAGGCAGAAAAAGACTCTGAAACTTTGGACTGTCTATCCATCTTTTCGAATAGTTTAACACTAATATGATAGTACATCTCAGTAATCTAAGTAATTATGTCTTAGAATTTGATTGAGGTTATCCTGTCCTGTAAACATTCGTAAGTACAGTGCTGGTATTCCTTTCCCAGAGCATATATCAGTGCTAATGTTGGACTATTTCTTTCAGATTCGGTATAAAACCAATGAACCTGTGTGGGAGGAAAACTTTACTTTCTTTGTTCACAATCCCAAGCGCCAGGACCTTGAAGTTGAGGTATTTTACTTGCATTTTTAATCTTGTGTTTAATAATTAATACAATAAGCTATACATAAAGAATACAGTTTGATGAGTTCTGATTTGTACACACAAACATACACGTATCCATGTGATTTTTCATACAGTAGTATGTTGTTATACAACCCTACTAAACTTAAGTTTGTTTTTGATCTTGCAACATAGACAAGGCTGGGATGAAAGTCATGTACTACCCTGCCTGACATGTGTTAATTCTAGTGACTGTTGCATAAATGTCTTAGGGTTTTATGTGTGGGCAGTGTTATTACCCACTGTGAGGGCCACATCTGCTTCCCATTGCTCCTCTTGCTTGCCCACCTTCCTTATTCTCTGTGTGGTGAAGAGTTGGTGCGGAGACACCCTACCCCCGCCTGGCGCAGTGAAACTACCAGGACTGATCTCCCAAGATGCCTGATCAGAGATGCTCCCTTGGCTTGTCCTAGTTTGCTGAGCGTTTGTTTTCGTGGGTGAATATCAGATTTCACTCAAAGGCTTTTCTGTATTTAGTCAAATGATTATAGTAGTTTTTTTTTTTTAAATAAGATTCACTGTTGATTTTCTAATATTAAAACTGAAGGAATTTTATTTACTTTTTAGGATCAATGTTTGGAAACATTACAAGCAAATTTTTGTTCAGGGATAGGCCCCATGTGGACTCTTTGAAGTTTTTGTGTCTTACAATGGACACCGATCTGTACTATTCTTTCCTTATAGCGTCCTTTTCTATTTTGGTGTCTGAGTATTTGACCCCTTGAATGAATTAGGAAGTATCCTTCCTCTTTGATTTTCTGAGTTTGTGTAGAATTGATTTTTTAAATCTTTTTTTTTTTTTTTTTTTGCCTTATATATTTGGTAGTCTGCAGTTTTCCTTGTGAAAAAGTTTTTAAAGGCAAACTCAAGCCAGGCGCCGGTGGCTCACACCTGTCATCCTGCCTACTCAGGAGGCTGAGATCTGAGGATCGGGGTGCAAAGCCAGCCTAGGCAGGAAGGTCCGTGAGACTCTTATCCCCAATAAACCACTAAAAAACCGAGAGTGGCGCTGTGGCTCAAGTGGTAGAGCGCTCACTTTGAGCTGAAAAGCTGAGAAATAGCACCCAGGCCCAGAGTTCAAGCCCCACGACCGACAAAAAAAATGCAAACTCTATTCTATCAGTGGATATAGAGCTATCCAAGTTATCTGTTACTTGTGGTTTGATTGTGACATTAATGTCTTTCAAGAAATTGGTTGCTTTCATCTGTGTTGTTGAAACCTTTCTATAAGGTTAGCCTTTGATGTTTTCCAGTCCCATTGAAATGTGTATGTACATAGGAGATGATCTTCCCAGTCTGACAAGAGGTTTATTGATTTTACTTTCTGAAAGAAATAACTTGTGGTTTCATTGATGATCATTATTGGTTTTTTTTCTTCATAATTTCAGTAGTTTTTGCCATGATCAATCTCATTTCATGTTTTATGATTATTCAGCTTTCATTTGCTTCTCTTTGCCTAATTTCTGAAAAGGAAACTTGATAGAAGAACTGTTATAACACAGGCATTTGGTCTAACTTTTGACTTACAGTTTCATTTTTATTTCTTTTGATAATTTCCCTTTTGATTATTATTTCCTCCATTTCCCTTTTCCTTTTTTTTTTTTTTTTTGGGTCCGGTCGTGGGGCCTGAACTCTGGGCCTGGGCGCTGTCCCTTAGCTCTTCAGCTCAAGGCTAGTGCTCTACCACTTGAGCCACAGCGCCACTTCCGGCTTTTTTTTTCCTGCTTATGTGGTGCTGAGGAATCGAACCCAGGGCCTCATGCATGCAAGGCAGGCACTCTACCACTGAGCCACCTTCCCAGCCCCTCCATTTCCCTTTTCCCTTCCCTCCCTCCTTCCCTCCCTCCCTCCCTCCCTCCCTCTCTCCCTTCCTCCCTCTCTCTCTCTCTTTCCCTCTCTCTCTCTTTCTTTCTTTCTCTCTCTTTCTTTCTTTCTTTCTTTCTTTCTTTCTTCCTTTCTTTCTTTCTTCCTTTCTCCCTCTCCCTCTCCCTCTCCCTCTCCCTCTCCTGTCGTGGAGCTTGAACTCTGGGCCTGGGCGCTGTCTCTCAGCTCTTCAGCCCAGGGCAAGTGTTCTGCCACTTGAGCACAGTTCCATTTCTGGTTTTCTAATGGTTTATTGGAGAAAAGAGTCTCATGGACTGTCCTGCCTGGGCTGGCTTTCCAGAGTAGCTAGGATTACAGGTGTGAGCCACTGGTACCAGGCTGCATTTCTTCCTTGTTTTGAGGATTTCTGATTTACACGTATGTTGCTTAGTGTTTAAGTAGTTGGGAATTTTAAACATTCCATAATGGTCAGAGTATATGCTTTGTATAACTTGAGCCCTTTACATTGAGAATGGTTTGTTGCCACAGCTTTCCTTTGGCTTTTTAAAAGTTGTTAGTTGGAGGTAAGAGTCTCAAAGACTTTCCTGTCAGGGCCGTTTTTTGTTGGTTTTTTTTTTTTAAAGAGATTGTCGACCAGCTCTGTTGATTGGAAACAAACGTGACAGTTCAGCTTTTTCAAGGGTCTCAGTAGACATATGGAAGGAACAGAGACACTGTATCAGGACCTGCTAGGAATCAGAGATGAGTAATGCCTATATTCCTTTTTATGGCTCTGTTCATACCTTCTCTCTGTGTGAGTTTGTTTTGTTTTGTTTTGTTTTTTGTCTGTCATGGGCCTGAACGCTGGGCGCTGTCCCATTGCTCTTCAGCTCAAGGCTAGCGCTCTACTTTTTCTGCTTATGTGGTACTGAGGAGTCAAACCCAGGGCATCATGCATACAAGGCAAGCACTCTACCAGGCCCCAGTTTGGTGGGTTCTTTTTGAATATTTTTTTAATTGAGATTAAGCGATTATATAAATTTTACAAATTTTCACAGTATTTTGGAATAGTGATATTTACTTAAAGTCGCAAGCACATTTTAAACTTCATGAGGCAAACTGTCATTGTCATTATTGTGGTCTATAAAGCTTATGGACTCTACAAACTTTGACACTCCAGCTATTTATTCCAAATCAGGTGATACATACATTTTTTTTCCCTTTTGTTTAGTATAAGCTATTCCTACTTTCCCTCTTATTCCCTCCCTCCCACCACTGCCCTTGAGTTGCTTAGTTCATTTTAATCAATATCCAGTGCAGCTGATGAGCCCCTCTGTGTATTTTTTCCCATTTCCCTCTGATTCTGTGCCCTCCTCCTAGCTTCCCTCAGATGTGCGCATGTATATACCATATATGAGGTCAAGAACATGGAGTCATCTAGAAACGATACAACAAATTAAGTAGAGGTCCTTTGTTTCTTGAGTCCTGTTTTCTGTGTTGTATCTGCATTTTGAATTAACATCCACATATTGGGGGACTATGTGCCATTTGTCTCTCTGATCTAGTGCTGGTTTTGAGCCATCATCTTAGGTCTAAGCCTCCTGTGTGGTGAAGATTGCAGGCATGAGCCACCAGTGCCTGGCTGTGGCCCCTGTTGATGCCTGCCCTCCACCTACCTGAAGAGCATGTGTTTCTGATGTGGAGTGTATCTTAGCAGAAGGGAGCTAAGGGGGACACTTTTGTGTACTCTGTTTTCTATCTGTTTGCTGTGTCAGAGATAGAGCTTGTGGAACTTATACTCTAACTGCATCTACCTGTTTTTTTAAATCGTTCTCTGTTTATGCTACATTTGTTCAGAGCTTCACTAATAGATGGTGTGAACATCAGGGGCTGAAGGCTCATCAGCATGCCCTGTTTCATTGCTGTTTGTTGTTTTATACTCGTGACCTCTGTTATACATAAAAATACTTGGTAGGAGCCAGGCACCGGTGGCTCATGCCTGTAATCCTAGCTACTCAGGAGGCTGAGATCTGAGGATCATGGTTCAAACCCAGCCCAAGCAAGAAAGTCCGTGAAACTCTTATCTCCAATAAATCACAAAAAAACCGAAATGGAGCTATAGCTCAAGTGGTAGAACACTAGCCTTGAGCTGAAGAGCTGAGGGACAGTGTTCAGGTCCAGAGTTCAAGCCCATGACCGACAAAAAACAACCCCAAACCAAAAAAACTTGGTAGGTGCCAGTAGCCCTCTAATTCTAGCTACTCAAGAAGCTCAGATCACAGTTTGAAGCCAAAGTTCATAAGACTCTTATCTCCAATTAACCACCAAAAAGCTGGAAGTGGAGCTGAGGTTCAAATGATAGAGTCCTCCTTGAGTAAAGAAGCTCAGCACCTAGGCCCTGAGTTCAAGCCACAGGACTGTCATAAACAAAAACACCCTGTATCTATAATTTTCCTTTATAAAATGACTATTAAAATAACTTGTACTTTTGAAGGTGTGTGTGTGTGTGTGTGTGTGTGTGTGTGTGTGTGTGTGTGTGTATTAAAATAACTTGTACTTTTGAAGGTGTGTGTGTGTGTGTGTGTGTGTGTGTGTCCTTTATAAAATGACTATTAAAATAACTTGTACTTTTGAAGGTGTGTGTGTGTGTGTGTGTGTGTGTGTGTATTAAAATAACTTGTACTTTTGAAGGTGTGTGTGTGTGTGTGTGTGTGTGTGTGTGTGTGTGTGTGTGAGAGAGACTGGGTCTGAACCCAGGACCCTGCACATACTAGATGAGTGCTCTACCACAGAAGCACATTTGCAGGCCAAATGTGCCTGCAATAAAATAATAAAATAATTTATTTTATTATCATTTTTAATTTTTTTTTTTTTTTGTCGGTCATGGGTTTTGAACTCGGCCTAAGTGCTGTCCCTTAACTCCTCAGCTCAAGGTGAGCACTCTACCACTTGAGCCACAGCGCCACTTCTGGTTTTCTAGTGATTTATTGGACATAGGAGTCTCATGGACTTTCCCACCCAGTTGGCTTTGAACCGCGATCCTCAGATCTCCACCTCCTGAGTAGCTGGGATTTCAGGAGTGAGCCACCTAGCCTGGCGATCTTTGTTTTTGTTTTTTTTTAATATAATTTTACTGTTAGTAAGTTCTTATATAGAGGGATTACCATTTTCTAAGTCAGGTAATGAGTACATTTCTTTCTGGACAGTGTCACTCCTTTCTTTGCTTCCTTTAGTTCCCCCACCCATCACTGCATACAAGTTGCATAGTTTTCACATAGTGTCAGCTGCATACCATGCATTTGTTCAGCCTTCCTCCCTCCGAATCACCCCTTTGCTCGCCGAAAGCAAAAGCAAAAAACAATACCACCACCACGTCTCTATTTCCTGGAATTTGTTTCCATAAATAGTATTCTAAATGATCAGAGTAATTTTGCCTTTGGGTTCCTCCCCTAAGACTATCCTCCTTTAGTCTAACTTTCTGTGTGTGAATTCTTAGAGTCCTGTATAAGTTATCATGTCCAGTTGTTATCAGATCCAGCTTCTGTATGTGAGAGAACACATGCACCATTTGTCTCTGAGCCTGGCTTACTTCATTTAACATGATTTGCTCTAGGTTCATACACTTCACTGCCAATGATGTAATATTATTCTAGTAGATGAGTAACCTTCTATCATGTATCTGTACCACATCTTTTTGATGGACTCATCTGTTGTAGGGCAACTGGGCGGTTCCCATAGCTTGTCTGTTGTGGTAGTGCAGCAGTGAACATGTGTCTTTACCATATCCTGGCTTGTGATGCTCTAGTGCTGGGTTATAGAGGACTGGTGTGTTTAGTTTTCTGAGGATCTGCAAAGTGCCTTCCTGAATGGTTGTACTAGTTTATATTCCCGTCAACATTCCCCACATTCCCTGCCAACATTTGTTTGAATTGTTGTTTGAATTTACAATGTTGGCTAGTCTTACCTGGGGTGAGATGGAATCTCAGAGTTATTTTGGTTTGCATTTCCTTTATGGTCAGGGGTGATGAACATTTCCTCATGTGTTTGCCATTCTTCTTCTGAGAAGTCTCAGTCTAGTTCCTTTGCCCCTTTATTAATAGGTTTATTTATTTGGGGGGAGTTAGTTTCTTGAGTTCCTTGTGTATTTTGGATACTAGCTGTGAAATGTTTGAAGTATATTTTTCAAAGGCTAGTTTTTGGACCTTTCAGTGTTTTCTGTTCTGTGTTTTGCAGGTCAAGGATGAGCAGCATCAGTGTTCCTTGGGGAGCCTGAGGGTCCCCCTTAGTGAGTTGCTCACCAGTGATGACATGACAATAAACCAGCGGTTTCAGCTGAGCAACTCCGGACCAAACAGCACCTTAAAAATGAAGATTGCTCTTAGGGTACTGTACCGTCCTTCATATGCTAGTGGGAAGAGAGAAGGCAGATGCAACCCGCACTGCTCCTGGTCCCAGCCAGTGTAACTGGTGGTGGAGAGGTGTAGGGAGGTGATACAGCAGCCAGGTGGCCGTGGTGTTAGGGACCATCAGGGAGTTCTTTTGAGGAGAGCAGAGACCATAGCAGTCTTGGACCTCTAACAAGCACTTCATTTCTAGGTATCAACAGGCCAGTGGGTCAGAAAGCGTCACTCCATCAGAGGCAAGCAGCAAGCCATGGGTTTAAATCCCTAGAAACTTGCTGGGCATTCAGTGGCTCACATCTCTAATCCTAGCTACTCAGAAGGCTGAGGTCTGAGGATCCAAGTTGGAAGCCTGCCTAGGCAAAAAAATCAGAGAGGCTCTTATAGCCAAATCACCATCAGAAAGCTAGGACTGGATGCCGGGCTGAAGCGTCAGTAGTTCAGCCACAACAAAAAAGCTGCGCAAGAGCATGAGGCCCTGTGTTCAAGCCCCAGTACCAGAGCACACGCGTGTGTACACACACACACACATGCACACACGGTCTCTCTCACCAGTTCTATCAATAAATAATCAATTTTATCTATCTAAAATATACAGGAGTGGGGGCATAGCTCAAGTACTAAAGCACTTGCCTAGCAAAGTCAGGGCACTGATTATAAACCTTAGTGCCATAAAACAACCACACACACACACATGAACATGTGCACTTAAACATTACATACAAGCGTATGTACACACATATATGCACATATACACATGAAACATTAACATAAGAAGCCTACTTTTTTTTTTTTTAATGCTAGGGATTGAATGCAATGTCTTACTCATGCATGGCAAGTGCTCTACTATTGAGTTATCTCCACCCAGAGAATGAACTTTTAAAAATAGTTTAAATGAACTGGATCTCTTGAAGATCGTAATGACAATATTCTTTGTACCTGATTAGACTCAGAGCACTGGTGCAACCTTTGGCAGAGTTCCCAGCTACAAATTCCATGTTCTTAGGACTAATAGCCTGTTTCCAAAACATGACTCTTGGTAATTGCACGATATACAGGGAGGCCATGAGCATGTGGATGTTTACTGACATTTTGTTTCTTAAAAGTGAGGAAATCCTCAAGCCATCTTTGGAGCCCCGGAATGGAGGGCCCGCAGAGTTCAGAGGTTGTTACTAGTCTGTGTGTGTGTGCACATGTATGTGTGTGTGTGTGTGCACACTACTTTTGTCGCTGCTCCAGGATGTGCCCCAAAGCTGGGGGACATTGTGACTGGCCCCTGTTGGCCGCTGCTCTGCACTTGGTGGTTTAGGGTTGCACAATGAGATCAGATTTTCTCTGAACTTCCTACGTATGTAGAATGGGGGGTTTCATTGTCTTATCAGGGGTCTGTGGCTTGGTAGGCTTCTCTCATGAGAACATTGTTCCACAAATTGTGGAAGAATGTGTACAAATAGAAGAGACCAGAAAAAGACAGAAGAGGTATTTCGACTACTGAAACTGCTTTTTCTAAATTTGTAGCAGAATATGACTTTGATAAGTGAATAATTGAAAAGATAATACTTAATTAAAAAAAATTTTGAGCCAAGTTTTAAAGATACTTGGGAATGGATGCATCTAACTTGATATAGTCAAGATGTGCCCAGATGTTGCTAGTGTAACTGGGTTCCGTGTTTATTGCCTCTAGGTACTTCATCTGGAAAAGCAAGAGAGGCCTTCGGACTACCAACATTCAGCTCAAGTAAAACGACCTTCTGTTTCCAAAGAAGGAAGGAAAATGCCTGTCAAATCTCAAGTATCTGCCTCTGGTAGCAGCACTGGTGGCAGCAGTGTGGCTCCACCCACACCAGTGCTGGGGAGCCACGAGGAGCCCAGAGTGGAGGAGGAGGCCCAGCCCCCGGACGCCACCCCTCCCAGGCAGGGAGACCTGGGCAGGAGCTCCTCCAGCCTCCTGGCCTCCCCCAGCCACGTCTCTGCCAAGGAGCCCACGCCCAGCATCGCGTCAGACATCTCCCTGCCCATCGCCACCCAGGAGCTGCGTCAAAGGCTGCGGCAGCTCGAGAAGTAACTATTATTAATGCTTTCGGCATTGTTTATCACAGAGTGTGCACCCCACACCACATTGTCAGACACCATCAGAGTTCAGATCGCCACATGGAAGGTTGTCATCAGGCTTAGACTTTGCCCCCACATCAAGGGTTGTTAATACCCACACACTAAGGGTTATTGATACCATCAGAGTAGTTGTTAACATCATCAGAGCTCATGTCCTCCATGCCGAAGTTAGTTGTTCTTTACACATCACAGTTCACATTCTATACACTTAAAGTGGTTATTGCCATTAGCGTCTATGTCTCTCATACTAAGGGCAACTGTAAACTCCATCAGTTTACATCCGCCATAGCTATGGTTGTTAACACTTATCAGTTCTCATCCCTATACTGAGAAAGGTGGTTTTTACCAGGTTCACATCTCCTGTACTGAGAGTGGCGGTCATTTACACCATCAGAGTTCACACCCCACACTGAGGGTGGCGGTCATAAACATCATCAGAGTTCACACCCCACACTGAGGGGCGGTTATAAACACCATCAGAACCCACATCCTCGCGCTGAGCACCGCCACACACCATAGGAGGGAGCTAGGTTCTTAGGTTAGTTAGCTAGACTAATTTTGATTTGTGCTGTTGTTTCATAATCTGAATCTTTGATCTTCAAAATAAGACCTGCTGTTTTATAGGTGTATAGCAGAATGATGAAGTGAGAATTTTGGCAAGTAGGAAGGGCAGGAGGCTTAGCACCATGCATGTGCTTCTGGCCAGGAATGGATGGTAAGGGTCTCCTGTGGACCCTTACGTGTACATGGGCAGTTTGGCTTGGCTCCTTTTGCAGAAGAGTGAGTCTTTGCTTGTGTGGGCAGCATCCCATTACCACCATTCAGTCCCTCTTGTCTGGATGTTTGTGTTGGTTTCTTATTTTAACCAGAGATTCATAACTATGCATATGGCTTCTTAGGGTAAGGAAGAACATAGTTAATGCTTCCATTAGATGCTAAAAATTCCTGTGATTAGGGTATATTGGCCTCTGAGACTGCTCTTCCTATTTTAAATTTTTTATTGTGATTAAGTGAGTACATAAATTTCACAGTATTGTGAGATAGTGATTCTTAGTCACAAACACATTCTAACCTTCATGAGGCAAATTGTCATTATCACAGTCTATAAAGTTTGTGAATTCTATGAGCTTTGACACTGTATCTGTTTATTTCTGTATCAGGTGATATGTACATCTCTTTCCTTTGGCTCAGTGTGAGCTGCTCCCTCTCCCCGCTCCCTCCCTCCCTCCCGTCGCTGCCCTGGAGTTGCTTAGTTTGTTTTCATCAATGTCCAGTGCAGCTGATGGACCCTTCTGTTGTATGTTTCCCTGCTTCCCTCTGTTTCTGTGTCCTCTTTCTAGTTTCCCTCAGATGTGCACATACATGCCATACATGTGGTCAGCAGCATGCAGTCATTTAGTAATGATAGAACAAGATGAGTGGAGGTCCTCTGTTTCTCGAGTCTTGTTTACTTTGTTGTATCTCCTTATGTTTTGGCTTTAGCATCCACATATCAGTCCCTTTTGCTCTTGGCTTACCTTACTCAGAATGTTCCATTCATTTCCGTGAATGCCATATTTTGTCCTCTCTAATGGCTGCATAATGTTCCGTTGTATGTAGGTACCACAATTTTTGGATCCATTCATCTGTAAGTGGGGCATTTGGGTTGTTTCCATATCTTGGCTATTGTGAACAGTGCTGCAATGAACATGGAGGTGCATGTGTCCTTGTATCCTGTTTGCTCTTCCTGTTTTAATGAATTGTGCTAAGTTATAGGAAAATACTAAGAGAGGCGTGGGTAATGGTGAAGAGATGTTTGTTCTTGGTGATTGTGAAGACACATGTGCAGACATGTGAGGTCCTCTGATCCACACTCACTTTTTGCCTTCGCAGTTTGCAGGTCATTATTTTGGAAAAAAGCAATGAGTTATATGAGTTGGGGAAGATGGCTTGCCCAGCAGGTGCGAGGCTGCAAGGCAGGCACTCCCAAGAGAAGATCTCAGGATTGAGGCCCCAATAGGGAGGTCTCCGTGTCATTTTCATTTTAGGCACACTGTGAAAGACTGTCCGTTTTGAATCGTTAAGTTACTGAACCCTCTAGTTTCAAATGTTGTTTTAAGTCCGTGGAAATTTGATTTCTTTTTATATAAATGAACGGAGCCGACCTGTACACTGTGCCATGAACCATTTTACTCTGGCAGTCAGGGGAAGGCTGGTGACCTCTGTTCTGTTTTCCCAGTGGGACGACCTTGGGCCAGTCCCCGCTGGGGCAGATCCAGTTGACAATCCGGCACAGCTCCCAAAGGAATAAGCTCATCGTGGTGGTGCATGCCTGCAGGTAAGCGCCCAGCTTCCTTGCTGCTCATGATTCTTGTCTTTCTATGTGATTCTGACTTGTCTTATTAGCAGTTGAAAAGGATATAAATAAGGAGTTGAGCCTATGAAAACCTGTTGGAAACAGGAAAATAAAATTGGTGGCATGTAGAAGCATAATATAAATAGCCTTTAATTAAATATGTAATTTGGAGCATCTTGTATGTTCTTGCTGTTAAGATAATAACGGAGAAGAGGAACAGTGGAGGCCACATCATGTAGATAGGTCTGCTGGCACCCTGTGGAGTTCCAGTTCACTTAGGTCAGTGAGGAATCTGAGGTGGCTAATGCTTGGCAGTACGTGGCTCACACCAGTGTTCCTTTCTAGTACAGAGAAAGTGGACCCTGTGCCAGCCCAGTTTGTGTAGGTGGAGGAAATGGCCCAAGCAGGTCCAGTAGGGGACCCGTGTGTCAGCTCAGACTCATGCCAGGAAGGCCTGAGTGGCATCACGGGACTTCTGGGTGCTGGCTCACTTGACAGAGTCAGGGTGAAACAGTAGAAGGCTAAGAGACAGTGTTAGCAGCAAAGAAGAGGGACGTAGAATCCCTCCAAACCTGGGCTCAGGAAGTAGACACCAAAGTCTCCTCTGACAAAGTTGCTGAAAGGGAATTTGGGAGAGATGCCAGCAGGCAAATGGGCTTCTCTGCCTCTCTCTCCTTGCTTCTGCTTGGTGTTTAAACATGAAATCAGCACTGAAGAAAATGTGATGGTATTCTCATTTTCTGAATTCTAATCAGTCTTTTCTGGTTTGTGTTATGAGAAATCTTATTGCCTTCTCTGAGGATGGCTCCGATCCCTATGTCCGCATGTATTTATTACCAGACAAGAGGAGATCGGGAAGGAGGAAAACACATGTGTCAAAGAAGACATTAAACCCTATATTTGATCAAAGGTATGGCAGATTCTTTATCTAAGAAGAGGCTTGTTGTGTAGCAGATAAGGACAGGCCTGAAAAACGTTTTTGAGTAACTAAGCATATGAGTCAGGCTCTGTTGAAAAATTAAACGGACAACCTTTACCACATTTTCAATATTGTGAACCTCAAGTAGACGTGCTAAATGTAACAGACCAAACTACAAACACTTCACAGGAAGACCAAGGATTACATAAAAGTCAAATTATTGGCTGGGTGCCGGTGGCTCACGCCTGTAATCCTAGCTACTAAGGAGGCTGAGATCTGAGGATCATGGTTCAAAGCCAGCCCAAGCCGGAAAGTCCATGAGACTTTTTTTTTGGGGGGGGGGAGGGTCCAGTCATGGGGCCTGAACTCTAGGCCTGGGCGCTGTCCCTCAGCTCTTCAGCTCAAGGCTAGCGCTCTACCACTTGAGCCACAGCACCACTTCTGGCTTTTTTCTTTTTGCTTATGTGGTGCTGAGGAATCGAACCCAGGGCCTCATGCATGCAAGGCAAGCGCTCTACCACTGAGCCACCTTCCCAGCCCCAGTTTCTCTTTTCTTTTCCTTCTCTTTCCCCTTCCCTTCTTTGTTGGTCTTGGGGGTTGAACTCAGGGCCTGGGTGTTGTCCCTGATCTCTTTCGCTTCAGGCTAGCACTCTACTACTTTGAGCCACAGCACCACTTCAGTTTTCCAGTGATTAATTGGAGCTAAGAGGCTTATGGCCTTTCCTACTGGCTGGCTTTAAACCATGATCCTCATATCTCAGCTTCCTGGGAAGCTAGTATTATAGGTGTAAACCATAGTGCCCAGCTTGGTCCCAGTTTCTTTTAACTCAGATCTGTCTTATTAACCACATTTTCATACCAGAATCTGTATTTAAACCACAAGACAGCTCTAGTTTTATAAGAAAAAGAAAATATACTGTTGGGAGTACTTTCATAAGCAGAAATGTCATTTTCAATTAAAAGGAAAAGTGAACATAATTATGGAGAATCTTAAGTCACGTCCTGTTCCCATTTCAGCTTTGACTTCAGTGTCTCACTCCCTGAGGTTCAGAGGAGGACGCTGGACGTAGCAGTGAAGAACAGTGGCGGCTTCTTGTCCAAAGACAAAGGGCTTCTTGGCAAAGTGAGTTTAAAAAGAGTGCTTGATTGGTTCCTATACTTTAAAAATTGAACACCTCCCACTGTTCCTGGATCTATCTAAATGGATTCAAACTTATTTAGAAGTTGGTTTAGAAATGGGTTTAGAAGGAATATTGATTTTTTAATTTTTAAGGCTTTGCTCAATACTACATTGAAGGAATACATGGAGGAAAATATTCTCAAATAGCTCATCTCTTCAACCGTCACTATTCTTCTAGCTACTAGTATCTAGCAGATTATAAGCTTTATCTACTAATATTTTAGGTGTCTGTACTCATGTTGAACTTCTGTGTAAAATTGTGTGCCCTTTAATAGTGCATGTAAGAGGTAAGTTAGGGAAGAGGGCTTTGAATTGTAGATACTACTTTCTCAGTAGCGGCAGTAGTACAGAAAGCTCCCGTCGGCTATGCTGCCTGTGTTAGTTATAATGCTTTCTTGCCACTGTGACCAATACCTGAAAGAGGCATTTTGGAGGAAGAAAGATTCATCTTGAATCACAGTTTCCATCCACTGTTACTTGCCTCTGTTAGTCTTGGGTCACAGTAAAGCAAAGTATCTTCATCAGGAGCCACATTGTGGCAGGGCAGAGCAGAGCTTCTGAACTCATGGAAGCCAGGAGGCAGGGAGAGACAGAAATGGACCTGGGACAAGATACACAGGCCCTTGACATCCACAGGTACATGGTTGAAGAGGGAAAAACATGAATGCTCAGGATGCACACAGTTCAGTGCTGTGTTGCAGATGCTTGAGTCCTTTTTCCTGTAAGCTGCCCAACTTCTACTGAAAATACGCTGCTTTTCAGAGCAAATCTAAAATTTTTACTTTATCACTTATACTAAGCACATTACCAAGCCCTTTTTGCTTTAGAGGGTCCCTGTCATTTACCTTGCTTTGGGCAGCATTTGTTTTGGGGGAAGTGCATTTTTCACAAAATTAAGAACAGGTAAATTGTTCCAGTTTTTGTTTGTCCTGGGATGTTTTTCTCTGCTCTTCAGTTATGAAGGAAAGCTTGAAGGGGTAGAGTGTTCTTGGTTGGTAGCTCACTTTCAGTGTTTGGCATACATCATGCCAAGCCCTTGAGTTTCAGCTGAGAAGTCTGCAGTTATTTTGACTACTTTTCCTTTTTTAAGTAATCAATCTTTTCTCTATAAAAGCTTTAAGTATCCTTTCTTTGTTTTCTACCAGTCTGTTTGGATAACGATATGGCAGTAGAAGTTTCTTCTCTGGACCGATGGTCTGGTGGGTGTTCTAAAAGCCTCTTCCATCTGAAAGTTCTGTGCTAGAATTCTGTTAAATTGTCCCCGGAATTGCCTGTTCTTTCTCAGCCACAAATTAGGTCTTCAGATTGAGTCCTAAAGTTTTTTAAAGCTCCTTGCTTGTTTCTTGGCGTGGTTCTATATATTAACTCCTTTCTCTCTATATCTACTCTTATCTTCAAGCCCCAAATCTCTGCCTACTATGTCTTCTATTTTGCTGTAGAAGAATTCTACTTTGTTATTTCTTTGCTTTCTGTTTGGTCATTTGTAAGGGTTTCTATCTCTATTGAAGGTCTTTTTTTTTTTTTGGTCTGGTCATGGGGCCTGAACTCTGGGCCTGGGTGTTGTCCCTCAGCTCTTCAGCTCAGCACCACTTCCAACTTTTTTCTTTTTGCTTATGTGGTACTGAGGGATCGAACCCAGGGCCTCATGCATGCAAAGCAAGCGCTCTACCACTGAGCCACCTTCCCAACCCCTCTATTGAAGGTCTTGTACTGACTTCTTCATTGAGTTGTCTGTACCTTCCTGCAACTCTTTTAACTGTTTTTTCATTGGACTCCTTTGCCATTTCTTGGAATTCATTTGGCTTTTTGTGTTCTCCATGAATTCTTCCGTTATTGTCTCATTATGTTCACGAAATACCTTGTAAAAGCTTTCTATCATTTCATCGACTAAAGTAGGTCTTTCCGTAGCCTAGTTTGCAATATTTCTTCTAGGTCACTGTCTGTTCTATTGTTATCTGGTTGTTTTCTGTGGGTGTTATATTTCCTTGATTTCTCATACTTGTATTTCTCTGATGGATTTTACCCATTTGAAGACCTTTTTGTTGTGACTTTCGAGAGTATGAGATCTTCCTAATAGGTTATTCTCTGTGTTCTTGGTTGACTGGGTTTGATGGTTTGATCTTTTGTTGTGATTTACTTATCTAGATTCTAGGTTTGTAAAGGCTATTCAGTGCAAGATTAGAGTTCAATCATGATCTGGAGCAATGAGTTAAAGCTTAACTATCAGTTGAAGAATTAGGGTACTAGGTATGGCAGGAATGGAGAAGAATAGTTTCCAGAAAGATCTAGAGGTGAAAGAGATAAAAGATTATAGAGGAGTTAGGAGAGGAAAGAAGGAAACGAAGACAGGGAATGTGTGTAAGGGAAGGAAAGAAGAAGGAAAGAGAAATCATGTGATCTACTCTAGTGAAGGAAAACCCTCGTGTACTCTAAACAGCCTACGCGAGGTGCTGATATTCATCTACTTAATCAGCCCTGCACTTTTAAATGGAGAAAAGCAACATAGAGAAAACAAACAGAATATACACAAATGTCCACACATATACACATACATATATAAATAAAGCAAACAAAAACAACAACAAAAATGAACAAGTGCATAAACTGAAAAACAAAAATTGAAAGAAGAGTTTTCTTTTCAACTGTCCAGGCTACCTTGTCTGGAGAGTTGCTCTGTATCTTTTTGATCCTCTGTGTTCTGAGGCCCTCCTCCTGGTGGCTTAGGGGAGGAAGGAAGGCGTGGGGTGGCAACCACAGGGCCTGCCACAGAAGTTCTTACTCCTTCTGTTTACCTGGGGCTGCACAGAAGTTCTTACTCCTTCTGTTTACCTGGGGCTGCACAGGCTGGAGGTCAGGTAATCTGACCTCTTCCTGCTGGCCTCTGGCAGATCCCCCCCCCCCCCCCCCCAATTGTCGGTGTCCTGGACAGGGCCATTGTCCTGGAGCACAATTTTCTTCTGCCTTTTTTCTACTCTGCACCCAGCAGATAACACAGTAATTCAAACACAATTGATGATAATGCAGGACTGACTTAGAGATTCCCAGCACCAACAACTGTGTAATGTGCATGCAGAATTTAAAAATTGTTATTTTTGAAAATTCTTTTGGTTTTTAAAATATATTACCAATTTTTTACCATGATGCTCAAAACTACATGTGGTAAATCTATGAATAAGGCAGACTCACTGTCTTTCCTGGGTAAGCCCTTAAGGACCTGTTTCTTCCAGCTAGGCCCCATCTCACACCTGCTACAACCTCCTTAATGCCATTAAAATTGAAGCCATCAGTGGATTAGTCCATTGGATACAGATCAGAGGCTGAGTCACCCACTTCCTCAAACCTCACAGGTGGTGCCAGAGAGCCTTTAGCACATGAGCCCTTAGGGAAGCACTTCATGCACAAACCATAGTATGACAGTGTTACATTTGCTGATATCCACATAAGTTCCTTTATCTAATGCTTCATAATAATGTAATCTTTTCTTTTATGCCAGTACTGAGGTTTGAAAACTCAGGGATTAGCCGTGGTCCCTTAGCTTTTTCACTTATAGCTGGTGCTCTACCACTAGAGCCACAGCTCCACTCCCAGCTTTTTGGTGTTTAATTGGATGTAAGACTGGCTTTGAACTTTGGTCCTCAGATCTCAGCCTTCTGAGTAGCTAGAATTACAGATGTCAGCCACCAGAGCTCAGCATAACTTAATCGCAAAACTATTGGATAGGGAGCTGGGAAGGTGGCTCAGTGGTAGAGCGCTTGCCTTGCATGCATGAGGCCCTGGGTTCAATTCCTCAGTATCACATATGCAAAAAAAGCCAGAAGTGGTGCTATGGCTCAAGTGGTAGAGCACTCACCTGAACTGAAGAGCTGAGGGACAGAGCCCAGGCCCAGAGTTCAGGCCCCACGACTGTAAAAACAAACTATTGATATAAGAAGACTCTCTTAGATAAAATCAATCCTAACAGTTGAAAAGATTGAAGAACTGGGAGCCTCAAAGAAAGGAGAGGACTAGATTCAGAGAAGGTTGGAGAAGCAATGGAAGACTTGAGTTTCTCATCCCTGTCTTTGGACCCACAGGTGTTGGTCGCTCTGGCATCTGAAGAGCTTGCCAAGGGCTGGACACAGTGGTAAGTATTCCCTCCCTGGCCACGTGTGAGGAACGCTCAGGGAGGAGCCTGGCTCCTGTCTGCCATGCGCTTCTTTGCTTTCTCAGGTATGACCTCACAGAAGATGGGACGAGGCCACAGGTGGTGGCGTAGTCACGCTGGACGTGAGGCGTCTTTGTCTCAGCGCATCTCGCCTCAACTTGGAACACACCTTCTTACAGATGTACCAAGGCTATTTTTTATAATCTCATGTGTTGAATTATTCATACCGTAATAATTTTATAAGGCTGTTGGCATTTTAGGCAGGGTTGGCAGATATTATCGTCAAACTTCTATGTTGCGTTTCCTCTAGTGCTTCACTGGGTACTGTTATGTTCAGTACTGGGTGTCAGGTTAGGAGCAGACCAGAGCTTGCTTTATTACTGCCTTGTTCTGCATCACTGAAGGGCACTAGGTCATGTAAATAGACTGCATTTTTATAATCTACATACTAGCTTGGATTCAGAAGAAAATGGATCAAGGAAATACTTTCTTTAAAAGCTTGTTAAGTTCTTGTGACAAATAATCATTCTCATCTGTGCAGCAAAAAGCTCTCAGTGACCTGTTTTGCATATATTTAAAAGGGAAAATAGAAAGATAATTACCTTAATTAGGCTTTAGCATATTCCTGCCCATTACAAATGATCAAAGAAAGGATTCAAAATATTAACATTTTACAAATTTAAAATGTTATTGAGAAGTCAGTGGAGGGCTGGTGAGGAATACAAAGTATCAAGAAAACTGTCATGCTTTATAAATCATAATGTATTTATCTGAAATGTCCTATTTTCCATTGCTTGTTATAACTGATGTGTGAAATTGTACCGAGATGCGCACCTGCTGGGCTGGTGATGCAAACCTGTATGCCGGCCCTCAGGAGGCTACAGAGCAGGCCCTGACTCGAGAACAAAGGTGTGCACGTTACACAAAGATGAAAACAGACTTTCAGTGTTAGCAGGTGAGCTCTTGTCACCACGGGTTGTTGGTCATGTTCCCAGAGCTTCCTAGTCTGTGCAGATAGGAGCCTTCGCTGCTGCACTGTAAGGTCGTGAGGCAGGCCAGGAGGAGCACTCAACACGGTGCCCCTCGGAACTGAGCGCTGCCCTTGCACGGAGGCACAGGGTCTCCGTGGACCAAGCGGCCTGCCTGGTGCCGTCCCATCAGTGGTGGCTCTTCATTAACCCTGGCTTCCTCCTGTGTGCGACGACAAGCCTTCATTTTGGAATATTGCCATGACATTTTTATTTTGGAATTTTTTCTCTTTAGATGATAAAAAGCATGGTGTTTTATACCTAAGAATCCCAGAAACCTCTTGTGAGAGGGGGCTCTGTAGGTGGCAGCATTACAAGCTGTGTAGACATTAAGCTGTAGGATGAAGGCGGCTTTCTTGACCATGAGAACATTTAGAACTATCTATACACCTACAAGATATAAAATTTTGCACTGAAAATTGGAGATGTTCTTTTTGCATCATGCTGGAAACAAATAATTATGGGTAGCTCATGTGACCAAATGTACCAAAGTGCCTATGGTGAATGCTGACTGCCATTTCCAAACGTTCCCCCCATCTAGTTTGTAACTTACACTTTGCTCCATAGGTGTGTTTGTAATGGACTCTACATTCCACAACACGTAGGTTGTAATCGTAGGACTGGTGTGGTCTCCCTCTCCTGTCCACTGACATGTTCATCTAAATAGTTTCTAACTGGTTCAGAGAGGAAGTTTTGAATATGTCATGCATAGCAATATATAGGCTCCCTCTTGTCTCCTTCCTTCCTTCCTTTCTTCCATTTCTCCCTCCCTACCTCCCCTTTCTTCCTCCCTCCTTTCCTTCCCTCCCTTCCTCATTTTTCTCCCTCCCTCCTTCCCTTCCTCTCCCTCCCTCCCTCCCTTATCAAGAGGTCATTTTTTCTCCCCCCTCCCTCTGTTCTGTTCTGTTCCAATATTGGGACTTGAACTGCTGCCCCTGAGCTTTTTCACTCAAGGCTGGCACTCTAGCATAAGACACAGCTCCACTTCTGGCCTTTTTTTGTGTGATTCATTGGAGATCAGAGTCCCACAGACTTCCCTGCCTTGGTGGCTTCAAGCTACAATAATCAGATCTCAGCCTTCTGAGTAGCTGGGATTACAGCTGTGAACCATTGTCTTCCTGAAACTGGCATCTTAATAGCAGACAAGAAACAGGTGTATCTTATTAAATTAGTTGCTTATTAATAGTATTGATTTCTTTGACTTTAAAAAAAAACAAGTTTATTGATGGGCTTCTATAAAGAAAATATATTCATTGAAATTTTTCACCTGGGTTTTGTACCCATGTACTTCATGTGTTGACAGGTATTGTATCTATGGAATACTTAGGTAAGCCGTTGTTGGGCAGAGTGTGCAGTTAAGGACATAGAGCCCAAAGGAATCCTCTGTAGCAGCACGCGTTGCCAAGCTGCAGGGGATGGGGAGCTGCCGCCAGGAAAAGGGCTTGGGTAACCCTCCACCCACTCGGGGCGCCGGAGCCCCCGTAGCCATCGCCATGAACTCTGGGCCTGGGCGCTGTCCCTCAGCTCTTCAGCTCAGGGCAAGTTCTCTACCACAGGAGTCACACCACCACTTGTGGATTTCTGGTGGTTCATTGGAGATGAGTCTCACAGACTTTCCTACCCGGGCTGGCTTTGAACCATGATCCTCAGATTTCAGCCTCCTGAGTAGCTAGGATGACAGGCGTGAGCCACCAGCGCCCGGCCATCTCCATGCTTTTTAAAGGAAGAAAGAAGGGAAAGAGAAAGTACTGCCAAGAGCACAGAGACACTCCCAGATGCACTTCTTTCTGTTTACTATATGGGGAAGGTTGTGAATTACCATCAAGGCCTTTCTCTATACTTCAGGATTCAGGTGACAGAAAACACCTCAACCTATTCTCTGAGTATAACTTTTAGGCTTTAGTAATTGGTTTTTAGTTCTCAGTAATGGGTTTTTCTAAAGAAAGGGAACTTCACTTCCTACTTTGATCCAAACCAATATTAACTCTGATTAATTTGAAGTGCAGGTCTGCTGGCTGGAACACGGGTTGCTTATCCTGTGCCTTAGAGTACAAAAGTGCTGTTCCAAGTGTCAGATGAAAACAGAAAAAGCCTTGTAGCTGTATTCACCAAAATTTATATCGTGCACTCTGAAAATTCCTTATGTAGGTCATCCTTATCAAGAGACCAGTCCTTATTTAAAACCTAAGCAGATGCCTTAGGTCAACGTGGGGGCTGTGCACTTATTCTATTTTCTGTGCTTACTTCAGTCCCGGCTGGATGACCTACTACAAGGAAAGAAGAGCAGAGGAGCTGTTAAAATCTTGCTTAACTAATTTTACACGACAGTGCATGTATTTATTCAATAAAACTTTTGTGATAGCTCACTTGTGCTTTGATTTTTTTCTTTTGAAATGGGATTTTTAGTGTGGGACCAGATAATTTCTTAAGTTTATGTAGTGTGTTTGCCATTATGAATTCCTTCATTTTCAGACAGTTTGATGTTCCTGTGCACCTGTTCGATGTGCCTTTGCAAGGTCTGCCACGTCATTTGGTGAATGACTGGACAGACACAAATTCTTCTGGTAGACTGCCTGTGCCCATCTGCTTATATAAATCATTTGTATGTCCTTCAGTGTTATAAATACCCACGTGTAAAAAGAGCTGCTCTTAGATACATTTTGGTCAAACTGTTGAATGCCAGAAAGACTGATGTCTAGAGAAAGGCTCCACGGGCTCCTCAGTAAGCATCCAGCTGGTTCCCATTGGAAACCGGGGAGCAGAAGTGGGGTGGCAGAGTCAAAATGCCAAAGAAAGATTATCACCAGGGGTCTGTCTCCCACAACCACTGTCCCAGAGCGAAGGTGAAATTAACTCATTGCCAGATGTGGTTTTCAGAAAGTCTTACAGGTTGGGCTCCATCTTCCTGCCTCCATTTTCGAGGGGGGGGGGGGTTAGAGGTGTACCCCACGCTGAGTGTCACGCTCTTAGAGAACTGATTGCTAGTCAGCGTGTCCTAAAAGAAGAAATACTTTTTGTCCCTGTGTCTGTGTGACTGACCTTTGAAAAGCAGCTCACTGTAGACATTCCAAGTGTTCTGTGTTGTAGCGTGAGTCCCATGGTATGAGGTTGGGCCCGAGTCTCACACTGCACCGGCAACCTGAGGGTCAGTCATGACTTCTCCGTTCCTTTAGGTGCCTGGCGGCAAAGTAGACACAGGCACAATGGTTACCCCAGAAGTAGTGCTGAAAGCCACGTGTAATTGTTAGCGCCCACGCTGCCTGTCTACAACCCTGCGTTGGGAACGGCATCCTGCCCTCCTTGTCCCCTGAACCTCTATCAGCATGTCCTGGCATTCCTTTCCTGTACCTCTGGGCTCGTGATATCTGCATGTCATCATTTGTCCAAGAACAAGCCCCTCAGCAATCATCCCTAAGGTCATGTGTTTGTTGCTTTCATATTCCTCTAAGATTGACTTTACCAGGGAGGCCCCACAGTGCAGTGGGGCAGCAGTATATGAGTGCAAAAGTTAGGGCACATGTCCTAACTTCCCACCTTGATCTGTTGTCACAAACTGAGTGTACCTGTGTAGCCCATACCAGAAAAATGCCAGATTCCCAGGTCACTTGTACCCTGATCCAGATGCTCAACCCTGCAGATCAGTTTTGCTCTTTTATTATAAGCTATATGTAAGTAGAGCCCTATGATGGGTTTTGTGTCTGACACTGTGCAGAGTGTTTTAACAAAGCTTGAGGACTAACTCGTAATCAAGACCCCAGTGGACCAGTGTATGAGGAGGAGGCGGCTCTGTAGGCCCAGGTTCACGACCCCCGTGTTATTTCCAGTCGCCTTTGGCCGAGGTCAACTTGAGTGGGTTGCAAGGGCATCCAGCACATGCATGGTTCATGGGGTCACACGGAGGACGCATGCTTCCCTTTCTAGAAACTTCTGAGAATCCCAGAGACCAGGCCAGTCTCATGCAGTGTGTGAGAAAGGAAAGGAAAGCAGCAGCCTCCAGATACCACGGGCTCAGACAATAGGCTGGCTTGGGATCCCAGAATCATCACACACGTGTGACACTATACACTCAACACAGTACACATCTGACTTCAACATGCCACAAGACAAAATATCCAAGACATCCCACTCATATACAACATACACACGGTAGTGAGCATCATAATATAGTCACAATACATACATACACACACATAAAACACTACCACTCAGACAACACTACACACAACACCTACAAAACATACGATATGACGCTGCGGCCGCTGTGACTGGAAGCTCTCAAGGGGGACTCCGATCTGGGTCGCTGCTGCCTGCCCTGCCCGCCCACCCGCCTGCCCGCGGTCCCCTGTGCCATGGAGAAGACGGAGCTCATCCAGAAGGCCAAGCACTATGACGACATGGTCACCTGCATGAAAGCTGCAAGCCGCGACCGAGCAGGGCGCTGAGCTGTCCAACGAGGAGCACAAACCTGCTCTCGGTGGCCTACAAGAACGTGGTCGGGGGCTGCCGGGCCGCCTGGAGGTTCATCTTGAGCATCCAGCAGAAGACCGACACCTCCGACAAGAAGTTGCAGCTGATCAAGGACAATCGGGAGAAAATGGAGTTGGAGCTGAGGTCCGTCTGCACCACAGTCCTGGAATTGTTGGATAAGTATTAACAGCCAATGCAGCTAATGCAGAGAGTAGGTCCTCTATCTGAAAATGAAAGATTATTTCCCGTACCCTGCTGAGGTTGCATGTGGTGATGATCGAAAACAAACGATAGACAATTCCCAAGGCGTTTACCACGAGGCTTTTGATATAAGCAAGAAAGAGATGCAACCCACAGACCCAATTGGCCTGGGGCTGGCTCTAAACTTTTCTGTATTTTACTATGAGATTCTTAATCCTGAGCTTGCTTGCACACAGCAAAAATGGCTTTTGATGAGGCCATTGCAGAACTTGATAACGCTGAATGAAGACTCATACAAAGATAGCATCCTCATCATACAGTTGCTGAGAGACAACATTATGGTCATCAGAGAGCGCAGAAGAATGTGATGCGGCAGAAGGATCCGAAAACTAAACACAAACAGGGTGTAATCCTATTCAAGAAACCTTTTTACACGTCTCCACTCCTTATTCCACTTGGATTTCCTACAGCAGAGGAACCCGTTCTTGTGTATGGAATCAACTCATAGTCTTTTCACACTGCAGCTTTAAGGAAACTCCATTCCTTGATTTGTGTTTGTCTTGGCCATCCTCGTGTGCAGTTACTGCTGTAGAAAAGTATTAATAGCTTCATTTCATATACACATAAGTAACTTCCAGACACTTATGTAGAGGACTAAAAATGTACCTGGTATTTAAGTAATCTAAACCTGTTCTACAAGTGACTGTGTTTTGTATTACTATGAAGATATGAAAATGTAGTGAATTACAACTTGAAGTGTGTTCTATATAGCTTCCTTATTTCTACATTCCCTCCCTTACTCTTCTTTGGGAGTTTCCTTTCAGAAAGCAACTTTTCCATGCTCTTCTGTACTCCTTTCTAGGAGGGATCCAGACGTATTAGATTGTTTCTGGGCTGAGGGCTTACAAATTGAAATACTCCCTGTTTCACTTTTTAATGGAGGTCATGTGTGTGACAACAGGGAGTTTCCTATTCATTCTTCATTTGCTGCTGTTTAAGTTGACAACTTCCCTACCCAATAAAAATTCACTTACACCTCCTGAAGAAAAAAAGAAACAATATGTACAATGCACAGCACATAAAGCACATGCCGTATTGTCATGTTCACAACATACTTCACATACAGAGACCATGCACAACACAATATTCACAATGTGCACTGCACCTCACCAAGTACAACATGCACAGGCAAGACGCGTTTGGAATCTAAGTCTCACCTGGCGAATGGGGAGGTCTCATTCTGTTCTCACTGCTTTATCCAGGGGCCGTAAGCTGTTTATTACGCGGAGTGATGAGCTTCTCAGAACAAGCAGCCGCAAGTGGTAGAGCGCTAGCCTTGAGCTGAAGAGCTGAGGGACAGTGCCCAGGCCCAGAGTTCAGGCCCCACGACCAGACCCCCCCCCTCCAAAAAAAAAGAGCAAAGAGCCAGCTGGAGTGGACTGCAGACTATTTCTGATATTCTGTGGCATTTATAGGTTCTGCACCTGACACTGTCCCACATGATAATCCCACCTCCCTGCGATCAGGACTTTGTTTCCCTTTTACCAAAGTCTCCTTAATTTTTCTAACAAATATTTAACGGCACCATCTCTTTCTTTGCTGCAGATTCCCTTTCTTCCCTGCTCTCCTTATCCCCCGTTCTGATACGTTACTTCACTTTCAGTTGAGAGGCTGTCCTTATTTATGAAGATTTTACTGTTTGTTCTATGGATTTCCCTACATGGTAAATGGATTATTTTCCTGTAGTTTTTGACACTTTATATATTCTAGATATTACTCCTCTGTGAGATAGAGCTGCCAGAGATTTTCTCATATTCTGCAGGCTCTCCTTTCTCTGCTGTTTCTTTTCTTTTTTTTATCAGTCGTGGGGCCTGAACTCTGGGCCTGGGCGCTGTCCCTCAGCTCTTCCGCTCAAGGCTAGCGTTCTACCACTTGCGCCATAGCGCCACTTCTGGCTTTTTTCTTTTTGCTTATGTGGTGCTGAGGAATCGAACCCAGGGCCTCATGCATGCAAGGCGAGCGCTCTACCGCTGAGCCACCTTCCCAGCCCCTCTGCTGTTTCTTTTGCTTTGCAGCTTTTTTTTTTTTTGGTTGGCATCAGGCTTTGAACCCAGTGCCTTATGCTTGTTCAGCTGCTTGCTCAGCCGGCACTGTATTTCAGCCACACCTTCAGCCCTGACTTTTTGCTGGTTGTCTTGGAACTGGGGTATCATGGACCTTTTCTGGGCGTGCATATGCTGGTACTGGGGCTTGAACTCAGGGTCTGGGTGCTGTTCCGTAGCTTTTTCACTCAAAGCTGGTGTTCCACCACTTGAGCCACAGGAGATAAAGCATCTCATGGACTTTCCTGCCCAAGCTGTCTTTGACCAGTGATTCTCAGATCTCAGTCTCCAGATTAACAAGGATTATAAGAGTGGGCCAGTAACACCTAACTCATGGAGTTTTCTGTCTAGTCTGGTCTTGAACCCAGATCCTCTGGCTCTCAGCCTCCTGAAAATCTAAGATTACAGATGTGAGTCGCTGGTATCTGGCTGGCTTTGCACTTTTCAGATTTGGTGCAATCTCAGTTACCACTCATTCCTGAGCTATTAGTCTTATTCAGAACACAAGTGCTACTTGCTCAGTGCTTTACATTCTGTTGTAGTTTTCAGGTCTTGTATTAAGGTTTAAATCCATTTTGATAGGACTTTTGTACAGA